ACCCAAAAACTTCTAGACCTGGAAATTGAAATCAAAATAACGACAAAAGTGAAGGAGTTAGATAAAGATCAAATAGAAAAGTAAAAAAAGAAAATGCATGTTTTAAATTTATTAAAATACAATCAATAATAAGTAAAAGAATTAGAAAGAGAGGGCAAAAGAAGAGAATTAGAAATAGAGATAATCTTGAAAGAAATCCTCGTGGAAAAAAGACTGCAAATTTGTTTGCTTGAAAAGCTTCTCTTATTCTCCATAAGCTTCTCTTATTCTCCATAAGCTTCTTACCTTTACTTGGTTTTCCAATTTATCCTTTAATTTTTTTTAGGACATTAAAGACTTGTACAAGAAATTGAAAGAACAAAATATATGAAACTATTAGGGAACTACTTTAATATATTAGTATAAATATAGATAAAGATGGATTAGGGTTAGCCCAATAATAATTATGGAATAGAGGAAAATAAAAATGTATCTAATTATTAAATATATGAGATTCTTTAGTCCATAGATATAAGGGATTTTATTTATTTATTTTTTTTTTATTATTATTATTATTATTATTATTATTATTATTATTATTATTATTATTATTACGGGCGTATAACACAAAAACCAAGAAGCATAATAATAAATATAAGGAATATACAATATATTTCTTATTCTTAAGCAGACAAATTGAAGATCAAGCAATTTTTTTTTTTAATTAATGAGTTGCATTCTATAAATAGTAAATCAAAGTGTACAAAGATTGGAGTCTCATTTTGGGCAAGTAAATATACAAATATGTTGCATTATATTAAGATAGCATTTGGTATCATTTTTAGATATTATCTTTAAGATTATTTCAGTGATCTAATTACCATGGTTATAAGATTACCAAAGTGATTTGATCATTCGTAATCTTATAATACCATGTTTGGTATAATATTACAAATCACTAATGCTTTTATATCACTATATTTTGTATTATATGAAAAAATAAATCATATATACAAAATATTCAAAATAATCTTGTAAAAAAAGTAAAATATTTAATACTTATTAAATCAGTAATTCATAAAATAATTAAACATTATTTTATAGAAAACTACAAAATAAAAATCCATTTTTGATAAAAATAATATTAAATAAATTCATTATCTTTTTTACTAGTCAATATAAATTTATAATATAAAACTTTTGTGAGAATAAATGATTAAGAAATTGATTTTTTTTTTTTTTGTTTTAGTAGTTAGCTTTGAGTAATTTTAACTATATTTTTCGTAATGATAAATTAATCAAAAAATAATATTAAAAATTATTTTAACCATGTTAACAAAATTTTCATTCTTTAGGTTGGGAATTAGATTACTTTCCAAGATATTGATCTTATCATCCTAGTAATTTAAAGTTAATAGCACGTGTAGTCTCTAAATTTTGGGTCAAATTCTATATTAGTTTTTAAACTTTGAAAAGTTCTAATTGAGTCTTTAATTACCTAAATGTGTGTTAATGTAGTCCTCCTCCTTCTGCTGGATCGTCTAAATTGATGGTAAATCTTACATGACAAGACATAATCTTCCAAACTTATATTTCGTGAAATTTTTTAAAGGCTTAAATAGATTACGTTGAATTTTTTATTAACTCTTAAACAAATCATAAAACAAAATTTTTTCATTAACTCTTAAATGTTTGAGCAATTAAGTAATATAAGAATCAAGCAAGAGCGTGCAAGCAAAAAACAATAATTTTTAGCAAAAAGTGCTTTGGGTTCAACAACACCATGCATTTTGCAACCCAAAACCCATCATCATGAAAACAAAAAAAAACTTGTACCAAGATAACCCAAAAAAAAAATCAAGAACACAGAAAAGCACAATCCCAAAATCCACAATATACAACTCAGTAGCAATTCTCAAACAAATTAAATAAACTTTGGAAATGGCTTGAATTTTTTCGATTTTAGATTGGTCATTTTCCTTGTATTTCTTAGGTTATTCAAGTTAAAAGAAAAAAAAAAGCAATGGTTAAACTTGGCTAAGGCTTCAAACAAAGAAGAGAGATAGTATTGGCTTGGATTTTGGGGTTAGTTTTAGTTTTGAGTAGCTTTCAGGTAAAGAGAAGAGCACAAGAGAAATAAGAAAAGAGGAAAAAAAATAAAAGTGATAGGCATTGGCAAGACTAGTGATGACGATAAATGGCAGTGATTGGTGAAGGCTACGGTGAACTCTTAAATGTTTACTAACTCTTAAAAAAATCATATTACAAAAACTTTTTATTAACTCAAATGTTTGAGCAATCAAGCAATACAAGCATCAGGTAAGAATGCACAAGCAAGAAAGTAACAATTTTAAGCAAAAAGTGCTTTTGGTTGGGCAATATCTTGCATTTTGCAACCCAAAACCCATACCCAATACCCAGCATCCTGAAAAGCGAAAAAATCATGCCAAAAAAACCAAAAAAAAAAAATCACGAATACAAAAAAGCACAATCTTAGAATCCACAATACACAACTCAATAGCAATTCTTAAACAAATTAAATAAACTTTGGAAGTGAGTTGAATTTTTTCGGTTTTGGGTTGGCCATTTTTCTTGTATTTCTGGGTTATTCAAGTTAAAGGAAAAAGGAAGCAATGGCTAAACTTGGTTGAGGCTCCGAGCAAAAAAAAGAGACAGTATTGGCTTGGATTTTGGGGTTTTTTTATTTTAAGTAGCTTTCAGGTTGAGAGAAAAGCACAATAGCAATAAGAAAATGGAAAGGAATAGGTTTAGTAGGCGTTAGTGAGACTAATGACTGCGATAAACAGTAGCGATTGGTTAAGGCTATGGTGAACTCATCGAATTCTAGATAGGGTAATCAATTTGGGATTTGTTCTTCGACAGAGAAAGTAAATAGTGAAATTCAAAAAAGAGATTTGTTTAAAAGTTAATAAAAAAATTTCACATAATATGTTCAAACATTTAAAAAATTTCACATAATACAAGTTTGAAAGATTATGTATCATGCCACTTAAAATTTACCATCATTTAGATAGCTTAGCAGACAGAGGAACCATGTTGACACACGTTTGGGCAATTAAGGATTCAATTAAAACTTTTCAAAGTTTAAAGAATAATATATAATCTAACTCAAAGTTTAGAGATTACGTGTGCTATTAACTCAATAATTTAATATCACTGCCACGTCGTATTTTTAAATTATTATCAAATAAGATGATGTAATTATTGAGTGTAAATCACTATAATTTTTAAATGGATCATCACCCTATACCAATCACAAAGACAAATAATTTGAAAATAAAAAGGAAAGAATTATTATTTGAAATATTTTTAAATTTAAATAGAAAATACAAATATGGACATTTAATGTATTTGAATATAAAAGGAAAATGAATATTTGTAATATATTTAGTTTCAATTTAATTTTGACATTTGAATTTAAAATATTAATTGCATAATATTCAAAATTAATATAAGAATATTGAAAATTTAAGATAAAATAAATATAATTAATCTTAAAAGAATCATTTTTTAACTCCAAATAATATAAAATCAAATCAAATTAATACAATACATAACACATAACGATTATTCAAGAAAAGATATAAAAGTTAATTAGTATATCTATTTAGAACAATTTTTTTGTCAATGTCTTTTACTTACATATATTTCTATAACATATGCGTGTTACTTTAGTATACATGGTATTTATATGAAGATAATTCTATTTCTTATAAATTTTTCTTTTTTTTTTGTAAGGTATAAAATTCCACATATTCACATGATCTTTAACTATTTGTTAATTAATTTTCACTTACATTCCATTTTATAACTACTAGAATTAATTTTTCTCCTTAACTCATTTAAATTTCTTTTATTACAATTAGATACCAAAACATAAAATAAAAATGCGTGATATAGTGCTAATTATTAATCTCACACTCCATCTTTGAATATCAAAAACTGATATTAATCTTTAAAAATTCACGACTTTATCAAATTTAAAATTGTAAATAGAAGCTAATGCAATCTCATCGCAATGGCAAGAGTAAAATACATTGATCATCTAATTTTTGTATAATATTTCATCCGTAAATTTTAAAATTAATTTTTTGGATCTATGATTTTTTAAAAATATTTCCATTATCCTTTTTATTAATCACAATTAAAGTTTTGACGAAATAAATTAAGTAAATGTCTCATGAATTTTAACGTATCACAAATTTAAAGATAAAAATCAAACAAACTAAGTTTACATTTTTCGCATCAATGATTATCAAAGAATTTATATTTAACACATTTTAAGTGTATAAATTTTTTTTGAAATGTTTAATATATTTTTGAATCTCTCAACTTTTATATTTATTTAATTGAAAAAAATATTAGGCATATAAATTTTTTTGAATCATTACCTCTAAATACTAATTTTAGTATCATATCAACTAATTCAAAATTTAATAAATCTTTTAATACATAAATTTTATATATTATCAATAAATAATATGTTAGCTTATCGTCGTTAAGCAAATTTAAAGTCTCATATCTAATCAACTCATTGCTAATGAGACATACGAAAAAAGTTATATATTTTTCAATATATAATATATACTATATTTTTTAATTAATGTTGATGAATTTTTAAAGTAATAACATCCAAGTATTTGGCTAGAGATTGGTGCATTTCTTTTCTCAAAACAATAAATTCGAATCCTTCCTTCTTTCAAATAAAAATAATAATAATAATAATAAGGCTTAAAATTGCTCCTACGTCCTATCGTTCCAAAAACTATAGAGTACCCTCGCCATATTCTCCCCAAGCAGCCAAACTAAAAAAATAAAATAAAACCTCTGGCCAGAACTAAAATTAAACAGCAGTTTAGGGTCATTTTTTTATTTTATTACTTTAAAATTCTTATTTATTTACTTTTCTAGATAAAAAAAATTTCTTTTTATTTTAAAAAAGAAATCCTCTAACCCGAGCCCAAAACCCAAACCCAAACCCAAACCCAAACGTACCAACACGAAGAAGATAACGGCAACGGGGTCTTAGTTGACACTCGAAACCAGTTAGCACTTACCACTTCAACTCCACAGTCATCAACCTACCTGAAAAGCTCATGAAGATTTTCATTTTAAACAAATTATCAACATAAACTTGATTTTAAAAAAAAAAAAGTGCTATTACAAGACCAAAAAAACAATGTCTACATTTTGGGTCTCAAACTTAATCATTACTGATTTTCTTTCACCGATAACAAAAGCCTCAGCTACTATTCCAAAATTCCACTGTTTTTCTCTTTACCAAAAGACTCTGTCCTTTCCTCACTATGTTTCTCACTCTCAAAGGAGAATTGTAACCTTTGTTTCTTCAAAACCATCAGAGTCAGAGGAACTGCCCACCGTAGAACATGAGTGGCTAAACAGACTCCCAGATAAGAACAAGCCCCTTTACTCTCACAGCTTGCCTTGTATTGAAGCATGGCTTAGGAGCTTAGGGTTTTATCAAAGCACAGAGGACCGTGCTGTTTGGTTGATTGAAAAACTTGATTGGCATGCCCAGTTATCTCTTGATGTGACTGATCTTTACATAAGGTAAAATTTTGATTTTTTTCGGATTTTAAGCGGTTTTCTTTATCTGGGTTTTGTGTGTGTGTGTGTGTTTTACTATTTGTTTAATTTTAGATGGGTGTCTTTGTTTAGATTGATTATTGACTGGGTTTTAAGAATTTTTGAGTTGATGTAAATTGGTATGTCTCCTTCTAAATTACAGAAACAGGAAGTAAAATTTATTAGTACAATTGAATTTCATGAAAACTCTTGGAAAAAAACTACAATGCAACAAACTTAGTACTGCATGAGATCAGAAAGATCACCCTCCTGCCGTTTTAGGCCCTAGCTGCGAGTGTTGATTGAGGATATTTCTATTTTCCTTTTTGCTAAAGGCTGTTAGATCGGTAAAGGTTATATATTATATGTTCTAAACCCTTTCTTCAATTTTCATTTGCGCTAGATGTCTTGAGGCAGGGGATGGCAATCTATGATGAGGATTTAGATTTAGCATTGGACTTGATTTTCTTTTTTTTTATTTTGGAGCTCAAACATGATCTACATTTGAAGTTTAAATTCTAATGAACAACATTAGACTGGGATATAAAATGCACAAATTTTGGGTGCTGCAGCCATGTATAAACTAAAATGGCTTCATGATAGGTTAAAGTGATTTATGATTGTACTAGCAATAGGGGTTGGTAATTGCAAAATTTTAGCTGACTTGACTGAGTTCTGAATGAATTGAAAATTGAACAAAATGTTTCCCAGTAAAAAGATGAATGGATTTTCTGCATTTGAAAACTGAAATATAGATAGCACTGATCAAGGATAGATAGGAAGGTTTGGCCATTTCCACCATTTATAAATGATAGCACAATTTTTTATCACTACCATTGGTGCAGTGATGCTAGTCTAGTCCTCTCTGCTTATAGATCCACCATAGACTTATGGAGCAAAAACCTTGGACATTACATCCACTGTTTGGATACACATTTTCTCATTTAAGCAGAACTGGCAGAGGGGATATAAGTTCAGAATGAAGAGGAAAAGGAGATGCTGGAAAATGATATTAATATTTAGAGAGCATGAGAAAAAGATTTTGATGTTAACTAATGGAGTTTGTAAAAGATAACACTAAATTTTAGGCTAAAATCTTATGTATCTTTGTGTACCTTGGTTCTTAGGTGGATCAAGCTATGTCTTCCTCGAGACAAACTGCTAGAAGGAATCATTCTAAATGGTGAAATCCATTAGGAGATTGTTTAAATAGTTGGAAGCTTGTCAGATTTGATTGTTTGTTTATGTTGGTTTCATTTAATTTGATGTACTCGTATGTTTGAGGGGGAAACTGGGAAAGGGGAGTGAAGAAGCATTAGTGAAAAGTGTTATACATCATTCTTCTCAGTTCTTATATCAATTTTATTTACTGGGAAAAGGGAAGTGAGGAAGCATCAGCCAAAAGTGTTATAAATCAGTCTTCTGCGCTTTTATTAAAAATTTTAATCTGTGATTGGGCTGAGAAGATTGTATCATATGCCGCAGGTACTTGACAAGTGGACCTGGTAATCTTGAAAGAGATGTGGAAAGGAGATTTAGTTATGCATTGAGTAGAGAGGATATTGAAAATGCAATTCTTGGAGGACCATAAAGTTTAAAGGCCACTAGTTAGTGCCTGCTTATGTATAACTGCAGTCAAGCAGTTGCATTATCTTTAAGATACCAGTTACTTTATCTGCTTCCTAAAGTTTGAAGGTTTCAAAGCATTGCAATTTTCTTTCCCTAATGCTATCCATTTTCTCCTTTCTTGGTGTAATTTTCTGCCTAATTTTTTCTTACCCGTATTCCTAAGTTCACATGACAGTCTTGCCTTAGTCTCATAAGTCATTCAGTTAGGCAAGTTATGGGCATTTTATGACAGATTGACGCACGCCTTTATAATAGATTTCGGATTGAAAGATACATCACACAGAACCATCATGACGCTTGTTTTCTCATTTTCCTAGTTATCTTTTCTTTCTGGTTGTGAATTCGACAAACCGAAACTTATAACATATAGTAACAAATCTGGCACTCAAGTGCAATACTAGTCTAGCTATGCACCATTGAAGAAGTTCTCTAAGTAAAATGTAGAAAGCAATTAAGGAGAGTATGTAGTAGAGCATCAGCAATTTGTTGAAAGATGGGCAATCACGATTCATTGCCTTGAGAAACTAGGAATAATAATGTTTGAAGACATCTAGACAACGCATAATTTTTTTGTTCTCGTGAAAAGTCTTCACTATCGCGCCCTCTCTCCTGCTTGCTCCAGCTTCCTCTAAAGCCAATAAGTATGGCATGTGTCCTCTGTATAGTTCTTCAGCTCCCCGACCTGGCAAGACTTGCTTGAGGACGACATCTACAAAACCTCGAGCAAGTACTTACTGTTCCCTCTCCTTTCCCTTGAAACACAGTAACATTATTTATCCATACATCCTACTTAATTATATACGTTTCCATCAAGCTGTTATGAAATGAGTTTGCCCCATGAAAATTTGTGAACTTCAATGTGGCTCTGCGGAGTGATAATGGGACCAATATTCCTTGACAAGTTGCCCAAACAGCGAACCTTCTCTCTCCATCAACTTCGTTGGCTCATCGTACTCCACTAGTTTACCTGAAGTGTAACGAAAACAACCTTCATTCATATGTGGTTTTGTTAGGAAAAAAATTGAAAAAATAATTAGTAAAGCAGAGGGCACTGCCACGCGGAGTTTGACTGCCAGAGGGACTGATCCAGGGAAGGGGGTGAGTTATAACAAGATGTCAAAGAAAAACTGCAAAGGAGGCAATACAATGCCCATGGATCAAAACCTAGTGTATATAAATTTTCCTTGGAGCGTGTCACATCATTGAAAGATTCCCGCCAAGATGAAAGAAGAAGCGCATGCAGTGTAATGGCAATTTTCAGGTCAGTATCAAAGAAACTCACCATCACTGATGGCAAGTACCATCGTGCAATCCATAACAGTCGGTATCCTGTGTGCCACTGTGATAACAGTACAATCTGCAAATTCGGTGCGAATAGTTTTTTGTAAAATCAAGTCAGTTGCATTATCAATTGATGCAGTTGCTTCATCAAGCACCAATATTCGACTTCTCCTCAAGAGAGCACGGCCCAGGCAAAATAGTTGCCGTTGTCCCATGCTCCAATTTGATCCATCTTGCACAACTGCATGACCAGTTGGTTTTTGTCAGTGAACAGTCACCATAAGAAGACTAAGCATACAACAACAATCAAATTTCAGATAATTTACCTAAGGAGTCCAGTCCCTTTTCTTTTTCCTGAACAGCTTCTTGAAGTTGGCACTTGTCAAGAACCTTAAAATGCAGAAGAAAAATCAGCTAATCCACAATATTCTTAGAGTTAACGGGAAGCGAGCAATCATTGGCAAAAAAGGTCAAATTTTACCTCCCATATCTCCAGGTCAGTATGTTGGGATAGAGGATCCAAATTGTATCTCACAATTCCGTTAAAAAGGGTAGGATCCTGAGGTATTATTCCAAAACGTGACCTCAGATCGTGAAGGCCAATAGTTGAGATGTCAATGCCATCAACTACAATTTTCCCTCCAGCTGGCTCAACCAGATGGAATAAAGCACTGATTAGAGTTGTCTTCCCACTGCCAGTTCGGCCAACAATACCAATCTTGTGCCCTTCTTGAAATGTGCAACTGATGCCTCTAAGAACTAATGGTGCACCAGCCCGATATCTGATCTGTTTGAATTAATTTTCTCAGTATACTAACTAATGCTATATAGAAGTTATTTTCTGTATGCACATGTAAAGACAAATTATACCTGCAAATCACAGATATCCACTTTACCCGCAGCTGGCCAGTTGGATGGAGGACGATTCCCCTCTATCACTTCAGGGGCTTCACTTGGAATATACATGTATTGATTAAGCCTTTCTACAGAAATGATGTTATTTGCTATGGTGCATTGGTTTTTAATTGAAAATACAAGGGACATATTCAATGAAAGACCATAAGAAAGAGCCATGCCAATAAACCCTGCAATAACATTAGTGGTTGTTATAGATTGATAGGGAAAGGCCAGTAGCTTAATATTACTCAATGAATTGGTTCCCTGCAAGATTTATTCGTACGAGATTCTTGAATCAGTATAAGAGAGTGACAATTTATTATACTAACCGGAACTGAAAGTCCCAGGAGGAAGCAAAACCATGCAGAGTGCGGCAGAGGCAAGAACAGTAGCACTAAATGTCTCTAACCGGTGGATCAACCATTCATTTGCTGAAAAACTGTGGAAGAAAGGACTAGCATTAGTGTCAATGAGGTCAAGGATCTTCACAAAGAACCGTTCTTCCTCTTCAAAAGCCCTTACTGTGATGGCTCCTGCTATTGACTCACCTAGATGGTTTGCTACCAAGGATTTGGTTGTGCCATTTATCCTCATCAACTCTTTTGCAGTCGAAAAGTAATATTTCTATATACAACAAAAAGCATTTTCAAGGTTAGTCAAATTTACGCAATGACATCTTGAATTTATCGTCAGATTTCGAAACAGACGAAGTTTTCCTTCTCTCCTGAAAGAAACTTTACATTTACCTGTAAGCGAATTGCGGCATAGATAATTGGTATTGAAACAAATAGGACTTGCCAGGTAACAACAGCCAAAACTCCAAGATTGCTATAAGCATTTATGGTAGCCACAACAGATAAGATTAAGTTGAATGGGATATCAAGATCAACAATGCTCAGATCAGAAGATGCCTATATTGAAAGAAGAAGGTATAAATGTTAGTTAGGTGAATCATTTTCATAGTTATGTCAATATTCTCTAAGTGAGACGCTTACCCGACTTAGTATCCTTCCCAGAGGAGTGGAGTCGTAAAATGTCATAGGTGCACGAAAAAGGGAATTTATTAGCTGTGAAAATAGAGATTTTGAAGATCTAATACCCAAGGTAACTGTGGAAAGAGATCTACATAGCAACAATAGTGTTGAGAAAAATCCAATCACCAAATAAACTCCGATCAGTTTCAATGGGCTAACACTAGGATTGTCAACACTAGCTGCCATCCAAGAGTTTTGTGATATCTGACCGCCCACAAACAAAAGGTGAGTGAAAGCAGAAATGAAGAAGAACAAAAAGCCTTTATTCTGATTGAGGTACTGTATGTATGGCTTAAACCCTGTATCTCCTCTTTCCCTTTCTTCTTGCTTGATCAGTTGATCGCCTTTTGATTCTTTAAACTGGTTTTCCACATAGCTCTTCTTAATCTCTCTGGTGGATGTTCCATTACTTCCGGATGACCTAGCTTTAGCAACTCTTCCAGATCCAGCAGTTTCTTTGTGTGCATTGACAAGGCCCTGAAATTCTTCACTAGAAGCTAATAAGTGATGATAAGAAGCTGCTTGAAGGATCTCCCCATCTGACATTAACTGTCAATAAAATCAACATTACAGCAACATTTTTGTTAAGGAAAAAGATTCGAAAGAAAATTCCTAGGGAACATAGACATGACAATCCTATATTTTCCGGGAATATATACTAACCAAAACAGAATCAAAAGCAGGTAGGAAATCAACTTGATGGGTCACAAGTAATACTGCCTTCCCTGAAAGTGCTTCCATGACATATTCCTGCAACAATCTAAGTCAGCTTTCACATAAGTTGATAATAAAACAAATTGTGTGGTGACAATAGATTGTAGTTACATTAAATAAACATGTAGCTGTGTGGACATCCACAGCACTGAATGGATCATCCAAGAGGTATATATCAGCATTCTTATAGAGAGCACGAGCAAGTTGAATTCGCTGTTTCTGACCACCACTAAGATTGACTCCTCTTTCACCTATATCAGTTAGATCACCATGGGGCATCAACTCAAGGTCCTTCACCAAGGAACACCTCTCAAGCGTTTCTTCATATCGTTGCCTATCCATGGCAGACCCAAATAATATGTTCTCTTGTATCGTTCCTGACTGAATCCAGGCTGTTTGAGAAACATAGGTAATCTTTCCAAATTCTTGAATCTGTACATTGGATAATGGAGCAGAATACTAACAGTAAATCTAACTTTATCTTCATGAAAAAGGAAACAATATGCAACAATATGCTAAGAGAAAAGGCTAAAAGTGCATTCCATACTTTACAAAGAACCAAATTCTTAGACTTACAGATCCTTGGACGTTTGGTACTTCTCCAAGAATTGCGGCTAACAGGGTTGATTTACCAGAGCCAACCTCTCCACAGACAGCCACTTTTTCCCCCATCCTAACTTCTAAAGTTATGTTTCTTAGAGTGGGTTTTGAAGAATTCTCTTCCCAGGAAAACCCTCCTGATTTAATAGAAATAGCTAAGTCGGCATTCTCCATATGGTGTTTTTGCCGGACGTTTGTACTCTGCAACTCTGGTGCCTCAAAGAAATTCACAACACGCGCAAATGCAACCTTCGCTTGAATGACTATTCCAATAACATCAGGAATAGATCTAATGGGATCCTGAACAAGACGTAATGTAGCCACAAAAGTGAAGACATTACTCGCATGTAGAGGAATTTTCAAGAAATAGCATGCCCCAAAGGTAGCAGCAGAGACCAAAACAGGGGAAGACCATAACAGAAAGGCATTATATGCTCTTCGCAACTGCACCGCTGATAACCATTTGTATTCCACAGCCCTTAAATTTTCGATAACTTTTTTGAAATGACTCTCCCATGCATATAGCTTCAGCACCTTCATGTTTATAAGAGCCTCCGAACTAGCCTTAAGTCTCTCATCTTGTGCAACCATTAGCTTGCTTTGAAACCTGTGCTGTAACTTGGCAAGTGGAGTATTGCACAGGACAGTAAGAAAGATAACAACTAGAGCTGCAATCGTAGCTAGTCCCACTGCACGGAAGAGAATCACTAGAGCAATGCACAGCTGAAGGCTTGTTGTCCATGTCTGATGGAACCAGAAAGGAAATTCCCCAATTCTATAGGCATCAACTGTAACATAATTCGTTATCTCACCACTCGAGTGCATCAACCTTGCAGCATTGGATAATCTCAGTTGCTTCTTATATATAGCTGCAGTGAGTAAAGACCTTACATTCAGACCAATTAGTCTGGTTCGAAAATACCACTGCCTTTGTGACAAGGATTCTAAACTTTTTGCAAAGAAGAGTGACATGGCCAATAAGTAACCTTCATATTTGAAACTTCCTTTTCCCTCAGCAACCAAAATGAAGGCATTAAGAAGCAGAGGACCAGAGGACATAGTGATTATCTTAAGCAAAGCAAAAAACCCAGACACGAAAATATCTCTCCAGTGGCATAATATTATTGTCTTCAAAATAGATGGCTGTGATGACGGTTTGGCTTGCTTTTGCTTGTTCGATTGCTCTAAGAACAACAAATAGGAGCTTCCTGCTCTCTCTGCCTCACGTAACTTGGGTATATCTTCATTCAGAAGAGTCTTCTCCCTACCTTTTTTCATCAAAGGATTCAACCACCAAAAGGAGAATTTACTAAAGCATCCAGCTGTGGCAAATGGAGTAACTTGCGCAGTGTAATCAGCTTTGGTACTGTCATTGGCTTCACCATTTAAAGGGTCATAAAGGCCACTTTCATTGGTGTTATGATTACCATCTCCATGCTTGTATCCCTTGTAAGCACATAACAGCAACAATATTGCTCCAGGCAATGACAGAGCATCTAAAACTATTTTTACTGTGACTATTTCGCTCAGAATAGCAAAAGTAGATAAAATACAAACAACTGCTGCAAATATGAAGGCGAGAATTGACAGCAGACCTAGTGGCGTCTTGGGAAGTTGATTACCCCTAAGGCTCACAGTTAAACCCACCAATAACCATGTGCAGCCCTGAAACAGTGCTAACAACCACCAATTCAAAGGCAAAACAGTCTGTGTTTTCCTCAAGTTCTCTTCCAAAACCCAAATGCCAAAGCACAAGTACCCCAACCCAAGAAAACCATTAACAATAGCAGAAGCCATCTGCAAAGCTGAACGATTTCGAAAGCGAGCAGGAATGCCAACTGTTTTTGATGATGACTTCTGAATCATGTTGAATAAGAGCATGACTAAGAGCAGAATATTGAAACAAATTATCATTGCTTGCTGAATGCAGGAAGAGGGATGAGTGAAATGCCAAAAGGTAGAATTGCATGTCTTTCCATCAGTCTCTGTACAAGTAGATTCCCGGCAAAACATAGTCCATAAATCCTCCATCTTTGTTCTTTTGCTTTATCTTCAAGCCTGTATATACTCCAAGATCACCATATTCAATATTAAGAAACTAGTAGTACATAAGATCCTGAAAACATCAATCAGAGAAAAGAAACTTTAATCAATTTCAAGGCTAATTTTTTGTAAAAGAAAATAAAAAGTCAATAAGCAAGTAATAAGTCCAACTGTCCCACTCAAACAGAAAGTAAAAAATAAAATAAAAATGAAAAAGAAGGGTCTTAAATGGGCAAGAGAGCTTGAAACTTGCAAGCCATCATCAGAAACATTCATGCCCAGATTTTAAGAATAGAATAATAATTTGCTTTAGAGGAAGAAACTCATGATTTCAACTCTTTAAGTAACATACCTATCAATTGGTCAGAAGATCAAGGAACCTGCCCAACCCTTTTCTCAGCAATTAATTTCCACAACTTTCTAGTGCAAATGCTCCTATAACAGACACCGGTTCAAGTTGAAGCAAATCAAAACCAAAGTTATCCAAAGCAAAAAAAAAAAAAAAAAAAAAGGGAATCTTTTTGTTTTTGGTACACAAATTGGTAGTCATGAAGTTATTTTAAAATGAAAATAAAGTAAATATTAACGGGATCAAGGGCAAGTTTAAAAAATCCAATGACTTGATACCCACAGGACAGTTATAGAAAAACAATGCTTGCAAAAATGAAAGATGAATCGTACCCTTAAATGCGATTTGTCGAAAAAGCCAAAGAGAACTTGGAGAAGCATTTAAATCCAAACAAATGATGAACGAAATAACTGCAGCAAATATGATCTTTTAAAAAAAAAAAACTATAAATATAAAATTAACCAGTAAAGTGATCACTTGAAACCCGAAAAATTCTCAGAAAAGTGACTCCTATAGGATATAACAAAAGAAGTTACTTACTAGGATTTGTTTTCAACTTCTTTTTCTTCCGGCAAAGAACGAAAGAAAGATTGAAATTGTTGATTAATTCATTCGCAATTGTTTTACAGTGTTAAAGGCTAAGCGTTAAGGAACAGCCAGCAAAACAACAGAGAATGAAAACGAGAGACGGTAATTAACAGTTTGTGATCGGAAAGAAAGACATATATATCATTTATGAAAAAAAAAAAGGTCGGAAGGCTTAGAGATGAATCGAAGACTGGTTTCGTCATGGCTCAGGTCTCTTCGAAATACGGGTACATGGCCTCTTGTCTCTCTTTATGTTCAGAGAGTGGCATGTTTTATTGTATTACATTTTTTTTTTTTTTTGGGCTTTTACATTTAACAAAATTGTTGGTAATTTGAGAGGGAAACATAAAACTTAGTACTAATTACTATTCTTTAAAATTTTATAAATTTTTTATTTTATGGGTAGTATAATTTTTTTGTCAAAAACAAAACAGAGATATTTTGAAAGCTATGAAAGAGAAGAGTGAGAGATCCATTTGGCTTTGCAATCGAAGCTGAGCTTAGTCGTAATCTTCAAATTTTCAACGCAAACCCAATAACAAACAAAATATAAAATTTAATTATTAAAAGCTTACAATTATTGTTAATGGTAAATTTTAATAAAAACAAAAAATATAAGACACTGAATTTAAGATCTTTAACTAAATTCCATCATTGTAATCAACAATTAAATAAGCTAACAGTTCAAAGAAATTGAAATCAAACAGTCAATTTTAGAGTAAAAAGCTTGAAACTTAATCATAATCCAGAACTCAACTTAATCATAATACATATTTAAGTTCAGATATGAAAAATCTTTTAAAGAAATGAAAATATATATTTATTATATTTCTAAAATGTTATTTTAAATTTTTATAATATTAATGAGATTTATTCAATTTATAAATAAGAATTTCATTGAAAGACTTTTATTAAATAAATTTATATGATAAATTAAAATGAGTTAAAGTTTACTTTTTTAAAATTTTAATTTTACGTACGTTAAAAATAATAAATTTTATGTTTAATTAACATATGATATATTAATATACATGGAACCAAATTTACATTTTAATATCCACTTTGTTAATATGAATTATTTGTACAATATGCAACTATATATTTAATACATAATTATTATTTAAATTTTTAAGTTTTAATTTTACATTAACAATAAAAATAATACACTTTATATTACTCTAATATATTTTGTACATGAGATAATATGCATTTTATTAATTTTAAATATTAATTTACAATTATGTATTCAATATATATTATTATTTAAATACAAATTAAAAAAATTTATTCAGGTGAGAACAAGTGTATATATATATATATACACCTAACTTTCGCGTGATTTGAGGCCACGTTTCAACCAGGACAAAACATGCCCATTTTTTGTTAATCAATGATGGGGTAAACGTCTTTAGAAATAAACTGTTGGCATGTTGAGCAACTGGACCAATGTTTTTTGCTCTCTTTCTTTCCCTCCTATCAAACACAAGGAGTGCTCTCTCTCTCTCTCTCTCTTGTAGGTTTTGGAATATTGAGCTATTAGAGCAATGTTTCTGGCCAAATAAACTAGAAAAGATAAAAATGTGGAGTTATGCTTTGTTTGTGTTTCTAACCTTTTTGTTATATTAAATCTCATGCCACCATTAAGTATAACATATTAATTTACTTAGAACAAAAAATTGGCTGTTATTTTTATATTTGAGATTATCAAATTTTATATTTTAAAAAATTTAATATTTTATCAATAAATCATATTACTTTTAAAAAAAGTTAGTTACTTAAACACACTACAAAAACTAGAATAAGGAACGAGAGGAGAGGAAATTTTGTCCAAAATCTTGGGGCAAAAACGAAAAAGCTATGCCACTATCGAGGAGTGGGGAGCCAGAATGTATGGATGCCAACAACCCCCATCTCTCCTTTTTCCTAAGTTGATGAGTGGTCGTATCCAGCAAATCATGTTCATGGACCATCCCTCTCTTTTTTTTTTTTTTTTTTTAAGCATCTATGTCCTGTAATTTCGCCTACAGCAGGCATGAGAAAAAAAAAAGTAAATTTATGATACTATGTTGTAGTATAAAATTTTGCAAAGTAATTGAAAATAAAAGGTCGAGGCAACTTAATCATAGAATAAACTTTTTAATAAGAGAATAATGAAAATTCAAACTCCAAATTAAATACTATTATATTCGAATTTTTTTTTATTTTTAAAAAGATATTTAAATGTTATTTTTTTAATAAATATATATATTAATCATTAAATCATATGTTCAAATATTTAATATTTTTAATTAAATCACAATATGACATGTAATACATACTATAAATCATTGAAGTAGTTATTATTTTAAATACTATAGTAGAGAATGACACATGGGGCACGCTCACTTAGAACTCATTTGGATGAGCTATAAAATTAAATATAACAGTAAAAACAAAATTAATTATTATAGTAATGATATTAAAACTAATAATAAAATATATATTTGAATGTAAAAACAGTAATGATGATGAGATTAATTATAGTGAGAGTATAAAATGATTATTAAAGACATTAAATTTTAAAATTTGAATGTAATAAAAATTTAAATTATTTAACATTCATAAATTAATAAATAATAAAAATTTTATTTAATTATTTTAAGTCAAATAATAATTTTGTTAATAAATAATTAAATTTTATTTATTTATTAGTTTATTATATAATAAATTTTATTTATTATATTAAAATAATAATGTTATTTTATAATTTTTAAATAAAAATAAAAATAAAAAAATTAAATTGTAAAGACATTTTTGTCTTTGTAATTTAAGTTAAGGGATAAAAATGGAAATATAAAACATAAGGCGACTGTGATTTTTCACTGGAACAAAAATTTTGTAGTGGCTGATTGGTGTAATTCATGTCGCAAGTTGAGCATCCAAGTGTAATTTCAATGTGTTTCTCACGACTTTTTATACAAACCACACCTCGGGTTCGATTGCATACCAATGACACCTTAATAGTAATAATTCGCAATAAAATTGCTACAGGATTTAGTTGGTTTGATTGACATGCTATTTTTTTATTTGACGAATAATTAGATTTTTTTTTTATTAGAGTAGGACCAAAGGTCGCTGGCGGAGGGGAGAGGGAAGTGCCACGATGGACGACACCAATTATGTGGTTGGTTGGAGGAGATAATTAAGATCTAATATTTTGTTATTTTTAAATAAATAAATTTATTTATTATTAATTAATAAATATATACAACATCTGCAATTTTAAATTAATTATAGGGGCATTTTAATATTTAAATGATAAAATAATTTTTTTTTCTTCAATATAAATTAGTTGACAAGTAAGATATTTTAATAATTTTAATCGGATTTATGTGATAGGTTGACATGAAATCTCATAGTCAATATTAGCTCAATCACTCTAACAACCTACAAGTTAGTGCCATAAAATGCTGACTTATTGTGCATTGAATGGACAATCAACTATTATCTCAACTCGAGGTCAGTCCTAATCCTTTATGTTGACTTAAGGTGGCTTAAGCCCAAAACTCTCCATCATATATATGTATAAATAATCCTATCTAGGTATTTTTATTGCATTTTGAACTCTTAAACTTTTAAGCCCTGTATTTCATTTTTTTTTCTTTCCTTTTCTTATATCGATCTTTAACTTGAATATCGGAACACAAATATTAAAACCACCCTTAGCCTTTTGTGAATAATCACTTTTTCTCTATTTTATGTTTTCGAGAAACTGCTCCATATAAATATTTGACACACAAAGTAAAAGATAATTTTCATCCAACTGAGCTAAAATGCCTCTAATAAAGAGAGTAGTTCAGGAAAGAAAAACTGTTGTTGGGATAAAAACCCATATCAACTAGCCAAACCTAAACTAACCTACCATAGTAGTCCCCACCATGGACCTATTTGAAGCCTTACCCAACAACCACAATCCTTAAAAAAAATTATACAAAACCCATAACAAACTTCAAAGGCACAAGACTAATAAATCCCAAAAACTTGCCTACACAAAAACTATTACTTATGATGACACTATGACGGCATCAACATCAAACAAAAACGAAACACCAGTAACCCATTACCTCAAACACATTTCAACATAAGCCACCACTTAAAAGTCCAAACAAGTTATCTCAAAACCACTACCGAATAGAGATTTAAAAGCTCAAATATAGGCTAAAGGATAGAGAGATACAACACCAATAACATAATGACGTATATATGTCAATGAATATTATGTAAGATGAAATGCAATTTAAGAGTTGGATTTTTAAGTATAATGAAACCACCCTGATTCTTCAATATCTAGGCAGAGCTTAGATGTGACTGTTTATATTTAAGAATCCAATTTATTATTATACTTTTTATTTATTAATCTTATTATTAATACGAATTAAGAACTCGTGTAAAAAAACTTAATGAAGTAAAGTTTTCTAAACATCCCATCATCTAAGCAGCATTTGAGAACAAATTACTTCAAATAAGATTTTCACATGTGTCCTTAGAGTTTTCAGAATGTTTTGAGTAAGGGCTTGAGTAGAGGTTTTAAAGGTTAAGGTTTCAAGATTTTGAAAATTCGGATTTTAGGATTTTAGGCTGAGTTTTGAGGGTTTTAGGGTTTGATTTTAAGGTTTAGAGGATCTTAAGGCTTAGATTTTAGGGTATAGAAGGTTTAGGACTTTGATTTTAGAGTTTGAAGATTTTAGGATTTTGATTTTAAAATTTGAGATTTGGGGTTTTGATTTAATGGTTTTGATTTCAGGGGTTTGGATTTAAGAATTAGTGTTTAAGGTTTCGTTTTTAAAAAAATGCGAACATTTCTAAAAATTCTTAACATCTAGGAGGATTTTCGGAGCAAGTTCGATTTTAGTGATTTTTGAAAATTAATCAAAATTTTCTTATATATTTCATTTTTTTTGAAAATTTATTAATAATATTTTTTCAATATCTAGACGAAATTATTTTTTAGGAATATGTTTTATTTCCTCCAACATTTAGGTAGGAAAAATGATAAAATTTATTTTATTATTATTATTATTATTTTGAGCATCTTTAATATATATTTATTTATTATCTTACTTGTTTTCATTTTTATTATTATTAAAATAATTAAAAATTTATCCTAACAAATTTAAGAACTTATCATGCATAAATATAAAAAAGATACTTAAAATAACAAAAATAATAATATATAAAAAAAACTAGAAAATTAAAAAAATATATTTGTTTACTTGAATCGGACCGTTTCAGTTGAGGAACGGTTCGGACCGATCTAGGGAGGGTTTGGTCCGGTCGGTCAAACTAATCTAGAGTTGCTAAGGAATCGGGTTGGCGGGTCGATTGCGCCGACCCTAAGTCGAGTCCGGGTCGACACACAGATCTTCTTCTGTCAAAAACGACGTTGTTTTGAGCTTTACTTTTCTATATATAACTAAAGTTTTTTTTTTTGTTTGTTCTTTTCTGTTTCAAAAAAAACAAGCGAGAGAGAGCTCTGGGGAAGAGCGTTGGGGCTCTCGCCGTCCGATCACCAGATTGCTGCCCCGACCACCACCTGGATCACCGTCGGCGATGGTCGTCAGTGATAAAAAATTTTCAAAAATTGATCGGGAGGTTCCGTTCAACCTCCTGAGCTCAGATCTAGTATCCTTTTTACCAAAAACAGCCTTGATTCTCGTAAATCGAGTTTTGAAGTTTTAAAACCTTTTTTTTTCTTAAAGACTCAAACTAATGATCTTTTTTTTTGTTGCAAATATCCCTTTGGCGTTGGGTTCCTCGTCGATTCGACAAGGATTGTGATTTTTTGTTTTTGTGTTTTTTTCGTGTTGATTTTTTTTAGCTTTCTATTTTGACGTTAGGGGTTCTGGGTTTGTTTGTGTTTTTTAGCTTTTATTTGAAAGGTTTTTTTTCTTTTGTTTTTTGTTCCAGAGCCTTAAGGGAAAGAGGTTGGAGGCTTTTTAAAGAGCTCAAGAAAGGGGACGGATAGTAGTTATAGGAAATGGTAAGGGGACTGTAGGGTATGGTGAAGGGACAGGGGTGGATAGTCAGTGGTGCCGTGTAAGGCACCACTGTCATCCCAGTTCTCTTTTTTTTATTTTTTTTGTATTTTATATTTTATATAATTTTTTTAATAATTTTTAATTTTAATTAAACTAATATTATTATTATTAATAAACAAAAATTAAAAATAGTAGACCCAAAAAAATCAGTATCTACATTTACATATATAATTATTTTTTAAAAAATATCTTTTATATTTCAAAATCAAAATTTTTTTATTATTTCTCTTTTATTATTTATTTTTATTAACAAAAAATAATGGAAAGCCCTGATTCAACTTTCAATAAATAAAGTATGGCAGGTTTCCTTCCGAGTTCTGACTGACTGGTTCGTGCTACGAAATGAAGTGCTAAATTAGCAATGGTTACATGCGGAACAAGTGAACAACCAAGAAAAAAAAAGTAGTCACCTTTTGCTAAATAGTTCTGATGAACAGTAGACAAGAAGATGTTCCTCTAAGCCAGCAGACATTGGGTTAACTATTGGAATTAATGATTATCATTTTGAACGTGCATGAATAATGATCACCTGGACATACTTCTTTTCTTTTGGAATTATTGTGAGAAAGACATGACACAATAAACGAAGAAAACGCCAAAGCAATACTAGAATTAATGGACTCGAGACTCACCAAATTAAAAAAGGTTGTGGGCACAATGATGTTCACACAGGTAAAAAGGGGCTCGACCATTTTTGTCAGTCTGTGACTGCAGATGGCTGGTGCGTAGATCAAAGAAAATTTTGCCAGATGGAAAGTTGGAAAGGGCTAATAGAAATGGCGCACGATGAAATTAAAGAGCTGAAGCTCAAACACACACCTAGCTATACCAGCGACCCATTTCAACAACTAAAGTCACTAATGAGAAAGTCTTTTGAATTTGATTCTATCTGGTATTTTGTTGCATTTAATATGTACGGTATTTGAGAACATGACTCGTTCTTTAGTCTCAAAATTTCCATGTTTTGTCACAGATAATCAAAATCATCAGTAACGTTTCAAAATTTCAATCTGACAATATTACTATTTACCTTAAAGATGAGTAAATCCCATTATTATCCCATGCTAACCTGCATCCTAATAACCCTCCTTAACAAAATATCGCCAAATGTCAAGATTCAACATAATACTAAGGGTTCATTTTGATGAACGGTAAACTTAATTTTAATGAGATTAAAAATAATAATAATAATAAATTTGATTATATAATAATAAGATTAAAAATAATAATAAAATATATATTTGAATGTAAAAATAATAGTAAGTTGAAGTAAATTGTAATGAAAATAAAAAATAATCATTAAATATATTGGTTTAAAATAAAATATTCAAAATAAAAAAAAAAGTTAAAAGTTTTGAAGTTAAAGAATAAAAAGGAAAAAAAAAAATTTGCAGTGGCTATGGACTGGAGCTTCTACCTCCGGTGAAAAATTCAAATAAATTGCATCTCACCGCAATTCCATTTGTCTTTAAAAGCTGCGGGGCACAACTTTTCATTCTAACTGGAGCCGCATTGGAGATCCAATTGATTCCAAACTCACCCTAAAGCTTGTTTTTGAATTTAGTCGCGGGTGCTATTGTTACGAGAGATTATGCAACTCGCAATGTATAGTATATAATTTTGCATTTAGTTACTCATGTTTATTTATTTGAGTGATAAAAATTTTGAATTTTTAAAATAAAATTTTGATTTTAAATTTTGTAAATAAAAAAAATTTAAAAAAATTTAAATTTTTATAAAATTTTAATTTGATTCAACTCTAAATTAATTAAAATTTAAAATTATTATCAAACATCGAAAAATTTAAAAACAAAAAATTTGCATCTAATTTTAATTGGGCAATGCGATTGATGCAAAATTTTCACTTGTCACTGTTGGTGGAGTGTTTCACTGGAGGCTCGTTTATTTTGGTTTTTCTTTCCTCTTAATTCTTATTATAAAGATAAAATCATCTTACCATTTATTAATTTTTTTATTTAAATTTTTTGAAATAATTTTTTAATTTAATATAATAAAAATATTATATAATATATTATTATTAATTTTTTATTATTTATTATAAAAATAATTTGTAATTATTTATAAATTTTATAAATATTAAATAATTTAAAATTTTTATTATATATAAATTTTAATCAAATATCCTTAATAATTATTTTCTTTTTCATTACAAGTCATCTCTTCACCACAGTTATTTTTACAACCAAATATATATTTTATAATTAATTTTAATCTCACTATTATATTAAAAAATTTAACCTTCATCTTTATTTTTAATCTCATTAAAATCAATTATACCGTCCATACCAAAATGAATCATAAGTTGCATTGAACCACAAATCTAGAATCTACAGTTGGTTGACTCAATCTCATATTTGCATGGGCTTCCTGGCACCTAGGCCATATGGGTCAGGACTCAGGTGGGTTCATTACAGCCCAAATTTGAAAATAACACAACCGATGGACAGTAATACCCATTAACCAGGCCTGACTTTCCCATGAGCCACATTAACGAATTTGGGTTGAAAGATCTCTTGTTATGTACTCAAATTACAAAATGAACTTTTTATATGGTAAAAAATTTTTAATTATCGATTTTTTACTTTATAAGAAATGATTTAAAATTAATCTTAACTAAGTTAGCTTATATATAAATTTTATATTAAAATTTAATTCAATTAATTTATACAATCACTTTTAAAATCATGTTTGACAAACAAGATATTGAGAAATAAGGATGAAAAACTTATTAATTAAATATTTAAAATTCAATGACAACAAAAATTAAAATTTATAAATTTTTTTATTTTTTAATTTAATTATAATATTAATAATTTTTTTTATCTTTAGCCCTTTTTCATCTTTTTTATAAAAAAAAAATTTAAGATAACTTTTAGTAAATTTAAAAATTAAATTTTACTACCTGTAACACCTTTCCGTATATAAAAAATTTTTGTTAAAAATGTATAAGATAATTTTTCAGAGAAAAAAGAATTAGATGTGGGTAGAAATTTGGTAATTTTACCTATGTCAGCCAGGCGTAAATAACGGACAACACCCACTTTGACTCTCCGTCAAATGAAAAAAATCATTGAACATCGTACACAAAATGAGGTGAAAAAGATAAATAACTGATGGCCTTGAAAAAAAGGAGTACAAAAATGTATTTGTGTTCTGATGTGAGTATTTAGAAACGGGAAGATCCTGTAGTTTGGTCCTTTGCGGGGGCATTGCACTTAAACCCAAAACTAAAACACAAGAAAAGACCGAGAACCTCAGAGAATTCTTTTGGGCACTGCCAGACAGGTCATCTCTTGGGTTTGGCCTATTCCTGAAACATAGTACGAAACCCAGATCAGATAAATCGTTGAAAACCGATAGTTGAACTTGGATCTACCTCTCATTTACGTCACTGAATCTAAGTTTACCTTGAAGAAATCTTCAACTTTTATTTTTTTGTCTGAAAAGACGAAAAATGCAGAGTAAGGGGTCCAATAGCATGGTTTCAAATATGATATTTCGAACGCGAATCTCTTCGTTGTTGATCTCCATGTTCGCCACTTTTGCTTCTTTTTATGTGGCTGGCAGGTCAGTTCTCTATTTAGTATCAGACCCACCTTTTTAATTGTAATGTAAATTCACCTTAATGATTAGAGATCCTTCATTTTTCATTTATTGATATGAAAGCTTCTCTTTTTTTGGGGGGTGTTTTCTGTGGAAATTAGATTGTGGCAGGATGCAGAAAACAGGGTTTATTTGATAAAGGAGCTTGATAGGATAACTGGACTGGTGAGAATTTTTAACATTTACCCTGGTATCTAATATTTTTCTTTTTGACTTTGGAATTTAGCTGTTTGTAGGTATCCATTTCTCAGATTTTGTTATTGTTGAAAAAAGGAATTTAATTAATGAGTGACCTTTCATTTTAGGGCCAATCTGCTATATCAGTGGATGATACTTTGAAAATCATAGCCTGCAGGTAAGGAAAATATTGATTTTTGTTTGTTTTGAGTACTAACTGTTATTGGCCCCAACTTTTATCTGTTACAAACTTCCAATAGAATTTCTATTGCTTATTAGGGAACAGCAGAAGAAATTATCTGCCCTTGAGATGGATCTTGCTGCAGCTAGACAAGAGGGCTTTACTTCCAAGCGTTCATCAGATACTGATGGGGCTGTTTCAAAGAGAAGGCCACTTGTAGTAATAGGAGTTTTGACAGGATTTGGACGTAAGAACAACAGAGATGCAATACGAAAGGCATGGATGGGAAGTGGTATGAACACTTTGACTTTCTGTGAGCTTATTCGTTATTGTATTCTGCAATTGGTGTGTGAATGGATTTCTTTTCTTGTTTTAAGGACAAATCGGTTGAATCAACTTCTTTCTGTTTTGAAAGGAAAGGAGAGCGATGGATATCATTATGTTTTCTGCTTGAATGCTTGTTTTTTTTAAATCATCCCACTTATTAGTCTTATAAGTATAAGGGCACAAGTTAGACATAAGCATCTTCAACTGACAATTTATATGCACAAAATTAGTGAAGCATGTATGTTGTCTTATTAATCATGCACTTATACTGAGAGATAGTGTGATTGATGTGAGAATGACTTGATATTCTTTGGTTGGGGAACTAAAATCTGAATGTTTATTTTCCAGGTGCAACTTTGAAGAAAATGGAGAATGAAAAGGGCATAGTTTCACGATTTGTCATTGGAAGAAGGTATAATTTTCGCTTTCAATTTTTTATTTTCTTTCCTAAGATCCTTGCAAAATTATCAAGATGGTAAGCTAGAACTCATTCTTAAGTTGCATATTTTGCAGTGCAAACCGTGGTGACAGTTTGGACAGGAGCATTGACGATGAAAATAGGCAAACAAATGACTTTATTATTCTTGTAAAACATTCCTTATCCAACTATTGTCTTGTTTCATAGAGTTGGTTATGGATTCAACTATATGATCATTTATATATAATTCATAACAGGACCAACTTGAGACACCTGGGGAGCTTCCAAAAAAGGCCAAAAGGTTTTTTGCTTTTGCTGCTGACAGATGGGATGCTGAGTTTTACGCAAAAGTTAATGATGATATTTATATGAATATTGGTTAGTATCACAATAGATGGATAGCCTACAATCTTTCTTGATCCCTCTACATCAACTGTGTGCATCAATGTGAAGTTGACAGAAGCTTATACAGAATTGTCAGTTTTTTCAAAGTTGTTGCACTTTGTTCGTATTATCAAGTTGTTCTACATTTTTACTCGATTTTAGAAAACAACTTAGCTAAATCCTATTCAGTAGATGAAAACCATGTTCCAAGATCATAACCTTGCTTAAGTGGCAAATTCCAGAATATCAATAGAGATTTCACTTTTAAATCTGTCTATTGCAGATGTTATTAAAAAGTGAGAGAGCTGTTGAACAATATAATTATGCACTCATTGTACGAAAATCTGTTAAATCCATTATCTACACTATGTATGGTATCCTAATATTGTTCTATAATCTTCAAAATTGAGCAAGCTTTCCATTGCAAGATTTGTTTTACCATTGATAAAACCTTTTCTCAGCACTGTCCCTTCACAACTTGTCAACTTGATGTTTTTTAGATGCCTTGGGAGCTACACTCACATCTCATCTGGACAAACCTCGTGTTTATATTGGCTGTATGAAATCAGGCGAAGTTTTCTCTGAACCGTAAGTTTGGCATAGAAATTCGGTTTTGAATTTACAGTTTAGGATATATGAGTTTGATATTTACTTGAACAGCCTTTATTTCTTCTCATGCTTGCAACTCTGGATATTGGCAGGAGCCACAAATGGTATGAACCAGATTGGTGGAAGTTTGGTGATAAAAAATCGTAAGTTTTGCTGCCACTGATTCCATCTTCTAGGACAAATAGAAGAAAGCATCCGTGACTAGGCTTATTATGCTTGTTACTGATTTACTCTGGATAAAATCTTATAGAGCGGTATCTGTTATTAGTATTTAGTTGCTCAAAATGTCAAGATCAGTGTTATCAGTTAAGTTTGCAAAAAACTTTTGCTTTTCCTAATCTGAGAAATGAAACCTTCAGTTAAAGTTTCAAATCTACAGCTATCTTATTTATGGACAGAAAAACTAGGAATATGTTTCTTATAATGGGATTTACTTGTTTTGATATTTGTTTTCCTAGTATGGACTTATTATTTTAATTTAATTATTTTTTTGGCATTCAATAGATACTTTCGCCATGCATCAGGTGAAATGTATGTCATATCCGGGGCTTTGGCTAAATTTGTTTCAATAAATAGGTCAGGTCCTTTGTTCTTTGGTGCTACAATGTCATTAGTTATGCTATTATAAAGCAAGAAGTTGATCCTAATTTGTTGACTGCAGATCTCTTCTGCGCACATATGCCCATGATGATGTCAGTGCTGGATCCTGGTTTTTAGGGCTTGATGTCAAACATGTAGATGAAGGGAAGTTTTGCTGCACATCTTGGTCAACAGGTCTCTCTCTCTCTCTCTCTCTCACACACACACACACACACACGCACACACATTAAGCACCTAGCCTGCTTTCTGAAACAGATTCCTCTGTTTAAATCATACATTTGATGGTATTGTATGTATAATGTATTAATGCGGATATTAATATCCCATCTTTACTGCAAAGAACAAGTACAAAAAATAAGAAGTATTATGTTTTAACATTTCAGATATAGTGTCCTGTCTATCTTGTTAGTCCTTAGTGATAGTGGATATGCATGGACATCCCAAAATGAGAATGTTCTTCCACACAGATTGATTTGGCTCTCTTGGATTAGCTAACATATATCTTTTTTGTGTTCTTTGGCCGTGGTTTCAGGAGCTATTTGTTCTGGAGTTTAATTTTATTTACTGATCCTGGAAGCAAAATATAAACCTGATGCCATCTGATGGGATTTATTTTATTTTCAAATAGTCAGTCTGCTCAACATGAATTTGATAGAGAAAGAATTGCTCCGCAAACTTTGAATAGAGGGCTTCTTGCTTGCACAAAAGAAGTTGTTTTGCCCATCTGATGAACAGTTGAGAGTACAGATTGAAAATGACAGTGAATGGCTTACAGAGTTAATAATAGCAGTTAAAAGGGTTAGATGATTCCGTTTCCCATTTGTTTATTCTTTTACACTTTTAAATAAGTTGTATCTGAAGTATAACCAAATCCTTGCATCTTTATTTCAGATGTCCAGAATTTGAAATTTAACCTTGCCAAATTATCTTTGTAGACGGCGTAATAGGCAATAGCTTATAAAGGTATTTGATTCTCCGGAATAATGATAATAAATAACACTATATCCATACATACAATTAACACCAAAGAGGCGGAAGTGATAATTGTAATTTGTTTTTCTTTATTACAGGAGACTAAATATCATAGAATGACTATTTATTTATACAATCTTTTTCAACGCAGAAAAAATAATGATATCGCATTATCATTCCAGTTCCACTTCGAAACTATTTAGTTTATATCATCTTCATGATGAGCTGTTAAGGAAACGGGCCAATGCCTTGTCGGTGTCATTGTCATACATGAGTAAGGCTTCAGCAACATTATTTAATGTGAATCCCATTTCTCGCAGTAGGTTGTAACCATTAACAAATTCCCGAACCTAAGGAAGAAAGAACAAAATTAATAAACAAATAGCAGAAGACATTCTTGTAATTAACTTTCTGACAGTGCCAGCTGCAGATCCAGAAGAATTGATGAAACTGCTTAGGCTAAACTTCAAGTACTAGGGCAACTTTTCCTCCCATTGCAAGACTAATCGTTTCTGTGCATCCTCATCATGAAATATAGGAAACTAACTCGTGTATCATCAAAACCAGTCACTTATCCTAGAAAATTACACACCCAAAATAGCCAAATGAATTCTAACATTCGACTAAACCAAATTTACTCTGTGCTAATCAAGAAAATGCAGGTAGACAGGATCCTACTTATCCATGATGAATTTGTGTTAGGGACAATAACACATTGGGTGGATGGTGTTGTTTTTTTTTTTTTTTTTTTTTGGGGGGGGGGGGGGGTGGTGTGGTTAATCAAATCCAACCTACGTTACAAACTATAACATCAAGGAATACTTCAAACTTCAAAGTGGACCCAACCAAGTTCTATGTTAGCACTACAATTACTCCACACTATTTTCAGACTACAAGTAAAGTCATCAGGTGTTCCAACTACTTGTTTGCAGTGACAAATGTTATTACAGAACATACCTTGGCCGGATTGTCTCCATAATTTGCAACTGCAACCGTAACAGCGTCTCCATTGAGTCCAGAGGCAATGTATTTGGTCACTATAGGATCTGAATTTGCACCCTGCACATTGACATGATCTTTTTTCTACCCTTAAAAAGCTCAACAAATATAGACTAATTTTATTAAACAAAGTCCCACTCAAAGTTGTCACAGATAGACCATGGAACAGACAAGTTACAAGGTTAACGAAAGATTTAAAAGGAAGCCAGAATCTCTGTTGGGGAATGAGAATAGACGCACCGGTGAAGAAGTTGATTGGGTAGGTTTAGAAGGAAGGCTATCCAAGCCAAGCCTGCTCCAATTCATGCCTTCCTTGTCTGCTTCAGCCAAGATTTTCCTCTCAAACTCGAAATCAAGCTGGAAATCGCTTCGAGGAATATCCCCAACTTGCGGCGACAACTGAGGCTGCGAAAACGAGAAAGTAATCGATAGGATAACTTATTCCTCTAGTTAAAACCCAAAGGAAGCGAGTGAGAAGGGTTACCGGAGGAGTAATCCGATATTCTGGTTTCAAAGAAACCCTAATACCCAATCCAGCTGCCATAAATAAACTTGAATTTATCACATTATAAAAAAAAATGAATAATAGTAAAAAGAAAGACAGAATTTACACTTAGAGGAAGAGGAAGGAGAAGAGGTCTGGTGGAAAGAGGAGGTGCGGGGTGCAGGAGGGACTTCGGTGTGAGCGGGTTGACCGATCATTGGGTATATGGAAGGTCCGTACATCGGATGGCTAGCTGATGATGATGACGACGAAGTGGGTCGTTGCCGGTACATCAGGATTTGCGCCTCGTACGGTGGACCTGTTCTGTTCCTGTAATCGTAATCCGTTCGAGAGGATAACGGAATTTTGCAAGGGTATTTACGAAAAGTAGGGAGTGACGGCAAGCCTTCAGAAGAACGATGGAAGGAACTTGGAAAATCAATTTCTTTATTAGCATTTCTTTGAGCAAGTGAATTACTCTTTTTTTCTTTGCCTGAAAATTATACTTATTAATTAGACTATAAATTTATTTATTTTTTATTTTTTATAAATGATCTATTTGCAGTGTGAATTATTAGTAAATTTATTTATTATTACCGTTCATGCTTTTGGAATTCGAGACAATTGAATCAGTTTTCATTCAGACAAAGACAGTTTTTAACTCCTTTTCATGTATATTGGCAGTTATACGCAAAGCGCCATTGATACATAGCCACTACATACTTCAATAATGTAAACTGAAGTTCAAGAACTACATATCAACACACAATTACAAGTCATTCTAACACAACAACAGAAGGCGGTACAGAGACTTGCACATCAAGTCACAAGCCAAATATATGGTCATTTCCAAATATGGCAGCATTGAACTGTCTCGTATTCAAGTCACCCCCATCCAGAGCAGCACCAAACCGATCAAGCCACTGTGTCGGGCTTGGGTTTTCACTTTCCTCTACCCATTCTGAGGTCATATCAATGTCGTCAAACTGAATGGGGTCAGCTTCCACGGACTTTGTTCTCATTTGTCTTGCTAACCTCAGATTGTAGTTAATATACACAAGATCATTCATTGTCTCCTTGTCAATCTTATTCCGCTTTTCTGAATGAATTTGTTGAAATGTGCTCCAATGCTTCTCAAAAGTAAAAGTGCTGCAAACTTGACTAAGGATTCTGATTGCAACCCGTTGCAACACAGGTGCTGAGTCGCCGAATTGCTCCCACCAAAGCCCTGCAAGAGATAAATGCAGACACAATAAAAACTCACACAACACACATGCAGACCCAAAAAGCCAAGCAGTTGCCTGATAGAAAACAATAAACGTACCAGGAGAAACTGTATCTCTTGCCTCCATTGCTAGATTACAAGCGAACATCCCGTTTGCCCTTGTAAAAGTAAAAATTTGATTGGTGATGTCCCGTCTTAACTCTGGTGTGGGAAGAAGTTTCTCTAGAACCTTGAAGAAGTCTTCTTTTATAGATCCAAGAAATTTTATTTCTGGATTATACTGGATACTTGGATTTAAAAATGCCCCAGCAGAATGTAGAGGTGAATGAAGTTGGTCACGCCACTTTCTATCAACTATTTCCAAAAATGTCTTACACTTACTCTCATCCATTATATAGTATGTCCTTAATGATTCCTTGGCTCTAGTCATTAGTTCATATATAGAACCAACTGCAGGTTTCCCTCCAGATACTTCCCTCAACACTTTCAGAAAGGGCTCAGATATGGCCACACATTCTTCTACTGCCCTCCAAAAGTCATTATCCTCAACAATTGCAATGCAAGATATGCTCTGTGGTTTATTTGTATATGAGGAGTTAGTTGAATACTCAGGGCTATTGAACATATGCTTTATTCTTGACCTCTGTTTCAACATCGATTGCAACGATAGAAAGCTGGATACAGACTTTGTTATTCCTGTTCTTATGAGTTCCTGTCCCCCAGTGAACCTCTTCATTAAATCAAGCATTGATACATTGTTGTATAGAAACTTTGATAGCGTTTGTGCTTGTAAGATACATCTGTTCACCCAATCTACCTTAGAAAATTCTTCCAAGATTAGGTTCAAACATTGAGAAGCACAAGGAGACACAAAAATGGTTCCATAATTCTGCAAGATATGGTTTGAAATACCAGTATAGTTGAAACTAGTATCCATGATAATTTGCACAACACTTTCAGGGCCGAATTCTTGAATAACGGAATCAAATAAGTCGGCGAGGCATTTTGTGTTCTTAAAATACGAAGAGGCATCTACAGATTTGTGGAAAAAGGTCCTTGAGGGTGATGAAACTAAGAAGTTGATCAAAGCTCTAGACTTATTGTCAGTCCATGTGTCTGCAATGATGGTGCAGCCAGTAGTAATCCATTCTTTCTCAGTATCTTTTGATTGCAAACTCACTTCAGACTTGATCCTCTCCAACCACGTTGTCTTCAAGGTTTCTGCAGATGGACCTGTAAATCCAAGACCACACTTTCCAACTGCGTCAATCATTGCTTGATAGGACGAAGAACGAGCCACACTAAAGTCCAACTTATTCTCAAAAAAGAACAAAGCAATGCTTCTCTCGACATTGTCTTGGTTGCTCAATGTAGAAGGGGCCATTGGTGAGACAGTAGCAAAAACTTTCGCCACAGGAGATGATGCCTCTAAAGGAATAATTTTACTACTAGTAGATATATTTGCAGGGGACCTAGCTTCAGCAATCTTCTGCTTCTTAACACTAGATGTTTCTTTAATCTCCTCTTTCGACGATATAATGGCTTTAACCCTATCAGTAACATCATCTCTAACTTTACTACATGGATTTACACCTTTACTTGGAAGACGAGACAGATGATGCTTTAACCTACTAATCCCACCATTCAAAACTCTAAGGCAAAATTTGCATCTAACTTTATTTCCATCTAATTTCTCAGCATATTCCCAACACACATCTTTTTCCCGAACCACTGCCAGAAAAATCAAGTGTACATGATCATCACTTACTCTGTCATTTTGAGACGATTATGCAACCAAGCAATAATTGAAAATTGAAGCTAACTATTTCATTCAACCAAGCAAATGCAAATGTTCGGAAAATAAAAAAATAAAAAAAAAAGAATCGAAATTTTGAACTTACTGATGATGGTGGGAAACGACTTTTGAGTTGTCCAATTTGACCTACGAAAGGAAGCAAAGTAGAAAAAAATAATGTTAAGAAGTTCATCAAAAATTAGATTGTCAATTTTTCAAATAAAGCAAATTCGAATTTTTAATATTTTTCAACATTTTAGTTTCATTCAAAGCTCAACGCTCAAAATTTTCGACTTTTTATTTTTTGCTTGAAGAATCATTCTCCAATCATCAGTTCCATACAGTGAAATTTTCAAAATTTTTTTCTAGAATAATTTTTTTTCCAGGGAAACAGAAAAAACCTTCGCCGAAAACGTATATAGTTTAAAATTCGAAATTTCCTCCTCCGATTTACGTCCATTTTCTCAGTAACCCAACACAACATTTAGCTTAAAAACCCAGAATCCAGCAACAAGAATTACAATTATTTTTGAACAATTAAAAAAGCGAGAGTGTTTTATTTATAATAAATGTAAAGAAAAAGCCAGAATTATAAGCTATAAGTAAACAAAAAAAGAAAGAGAAATTAGCGAGAGATTTAAGGAGCTTACTGAGAAGAGAGAGAGAGAGAGAGAGAGAGAACAAAGAGATTGGTCTTCTCGACGGAGAGATAAACGGAGATTGCAGATCTGGCAGTTTTATTATTTATCGCGATATTTTGCACTTTAGGGTTTTTGTTTCTGGATGCTTCTTTTTGTTGGAGTTTTATTAGGGTCTTAATCTTATCCTCTCTAATTTCTTCTCGTTTTCCCATTTTTCCTATTTTTCTTTTTCTTTAAATTTTTTTTCTTTTGGCGAGATATCGCGGACGCTTTTCTGATTTTGAACCAATCAAATGCTAGATTTAGAAGGTTTATTAAACGAAGTCGTTTTTTCTCTTCATAATTAATGATCCCAAAAAGATCAACGCTGGAAGCCACTCTTATCAGAGCCAGGTTTCGATCCTGGGACCTGTGGGTTATGGGCCCACCACGCTTCCGCTGCGCCACTCTGATTTGTTATTTTTTGGATACTTTTATTTGTTAAAAGGAAGAAATTGCCATGATTGATGTATACTAATTCGAGGCTATTAAGAATATTAGTTAGTAAGCTACTGGGTGGATAGAATATTTTCTCATCATCATTTTTAAAATTTTATATTATAATTATTTTTATTTTAATATTCAACAAATATTTTAAATCTATCATGATCTGTGTCTTTGTATATAATTAATAGGTATGAGTAATTTCGTACCCATAAATTCTTTTAAAAAATAAAATTTTATTTTTTAATTTTTATTTTGCATATTTATGTAAAATTTTTATAAATATATTAATATATATTTTAAATAAAAATATATTACTTTCAATTATCTAAAATGATAATTTATATTATTTAATAAATATCAATTCATTAAATATATATAAAAAATATAAATATAAGTACAGAACAAGTATTATATTATCTGATTTTATCCTCAAATAAAAAATTTAAAATCATATTTATTTTCATTCTCATCCTCATAATATAATATTTATTTTTATTCATATTCATGTAAAAATTTGAATTCTCCATTAGATACGAATAAAATTAACATCATTGAATATTACCATTTCTATAGACTAATTGAATTATGGTATACAAACCACAAAATTTAAAACATTCTCTGTTTAAGAAGAATAAATGTTGCACTCTAAAGTGAAAAATGTTCAAATGAAAAATTTTGAAGGAGACATGCATGTAGATACATTGATAATTTATTTATTTATGCAGTCTAAAATATTAATAATTTATGTAATTATCTCGTGTTTTATACAAATATTACGTTTTTTAATTCGTGTTAACATGTAAAATATAAAATATTTTTTTTATATATTTTTGTTAAATCCATTTATTATTTTTTCATAAAATTTTAAATCATGTCATGTTTATATTTTTTTGTATTATTTTATATCTTATCATTATATTATATTTTAAATTATCAAGTCTATATATAAATGGAATATAATATGATTTTTCATTTCATAAATTTTAAGAATAAAATTACAGTTTTAACCATATAACAAGGTATATACTTACATTAATGTAAGTTTTACATTCTTTTTTTAATTTTTAAATCAAAATGATAAAAATTAAAAATAATATTTTAATCCAAAGTAATCATTAATTTAATTATAATTAAAAAATATAAAAATATAAAACTTACGCTGCTATAAATAGATCCTTTTTCAAACCACATTATCAATACATAGATCAATTTGCATCATATGAGATGACCCCTTTGTCTATAGTATTGAATTAACAATATCTATACATAATTCTGACTTTGGAAAACCCTTGATTAAGATCGTGCAGTGTATCATCGCTGCATGCTTCTCAGAATACTTTTTAATTTCAATTTTTCTAACTTTAGTATATCAGCAAAATTGATTAATTGTCTATTTCATGGAAGTTGATTACTATAGACATCGATGTGATTCCAACATCGATGGCATATTCAAAACTAATAATTATACTAGTAATATTTGATTTTCAATGGTACTATTATAATTGTATTAAGATTATTAAAGATTAAATTTTATTTCGATATAAAAATTTTTAAGTGAAAAGTAGTTATCTCATTTTAAAATTAACACATGTAATATGCTTCAACGAAAACTATCGTAAGATTTAAAAAGCACTCACTAATGAAATTAGTGACATTAAAAATACTGAATCTAGTATTTTAAATGAAATATTTAATTTTTATTAACTCACTCAATCTTTTTAATTGAAAATTAAATTTTAATTAACAAAATTGAGAGTTTAATATCTTATCAATAAATCATGTGATCAACGATGAAATGATTTGATCTTTGATCTTGATGAATTGTATTAATTTCCAAGCAAAATAATGGTAGTAAATATGATGATGTAGATTGTTTCACCAATAATGACATAAATTACTTAAATTAGACGATGCCGAAAATGTTTATCAAACAATGTGCTAGAAGAAGGGCTTTTTGTCAAAAAAATTCCCGTCCTCCTCCAACATAAGATACCCAATAGGTGAAGGCGTACGCAAAGGTGGACTGTTATGGCCAATGAGGTGGGACTCCCCTTCTCCATCATGGCCCATACGATGTTGTTTAGGTGATTATGATGATGTAGTTGGTGGGGTAGAGTCCGAGTAAGTAGTTGGGGATCGGTAACATCACGTGGGGAGTGGCCCTTCTTGGTGCTACTGCTGTCATCTCAGCCGTTCGACCGTCGGTACTGATTGAACTTTGCCAACAAGCATTCCCACTTTGGCTTAATTGCCCACGCCAATGAATCTAAAAGTCAACGTCCAAAATCTAGAGCGTGGCGCTGACGTCCCTATCTCAAATATATTTTTAAATTTTTACAAAATTCATATACTTTTTGTCAACATTTTAAATCATTTAATTTTTATGTATTCTTTTAATATTATATCTATTTAAAATTATCAAATTTATTACTAAAAAAATAACCAAATTTATCATTCATGTTTGTTATTGGTTGGTATATTTGTGATTGATTAGTTTGCAAGAAATGTAAACATTAATTTTTGTAAATTTCCTTTAGAATGACATAACCTTCACCTTATCACTGTCACCTCATCACATTCACCGCCCCTCCAATTAATTCTTCCCTGACTTGTAAATTCTTTTTTTTTTTTTAATTTTATTTTAACAAATAGTAATTAATTCGCAATTCAACTTTCTTGATCATCCCAAAACAGTACCCAATTTTAGAAGCAATCATATATGGCAGAAGAAACACTATGTATGGACTGTACGTACAGTACATTATAACAGACCCCACAGCAGCTCCTTATTCTTAGGATACAAATTTTTGGTTTTGAATCAGATTTCCTACCTTTCTCTTTGTCTCCACATGGCTTTTCCTAGTCATGTGCTATAAAAACAACTACTTAATATCAATATGAGGGTGTTTTTTTCTTCTCTCAAATGATTCTCTAATGGTGCTAGCGGTTTTTTTTTTTCTTGCATGTGATGCTGCTCTCTCAAGCAAGAAAAGCTCAATCATTGATATTCGATCGTCATTATTACCATTGCCATCATGAACTCGTTAGCTAGCCCCGTAACTCTTGTCTGATTCTTGAAGAATGTGCCTGATTCTTCTTCTCTCTTCTCCTTTGCTTCTTTTTCAATGCTCCAGGGATTAACTGCCAAGTTCTTATATTTGATCATTTCTGGATCCTTTGCCGGGTTTCTTTTGATCTGGGCTCTGGCTTCTCTCAAAGTAAGTTAATTTGTTCTAAAATTTTGATTACTAAGATTTGTTCTTATTCTTTTGTTGGTGTATGAATATTATCTGTTTGGTTATCGAGAAATGAAGAGAAAGAAGCTGGATAAAATTCTCAATGTTAATATTATGGTTTTTGACCATTCGTAGTAAATGGCTTAAATTTTGCATCTTGAAAATATGAAAACTTCAACTGAATCAATCAGTACGGTATGCTAATTGGGTTTTAATTTCATAACATGAGATTTTGTAAATTTGGATCATAGATTCCTTTTCTTGTTATGTTTTTAAGCATTTTACTCAGTAACCAAACAGAGAAAGGTCGAAAAAGAAAAGTCAACAAATGACAGAACGTAAGGCACCTAAAGTTGCTGCTTTTGACAAAAATCTGCTTAATATCAAGTCATTTAAGTCAATATTTTTTATAGAAGTTTTTAACAAACGTTTCTGTTGTTAACCATTGATTATAACTCAGTAACATATTCTTTAACGATTGCGTTTCTGACTCTGATTTCTTTGGTCATTCAAATTCATATAGATGAGGCCATAATTAGCAGAAAAGTTAAAGAATCCCACTTTTACTGCGAATTTGGTTGAATTGTTGGGATTTTGAGGCAGCTGGGAAATGGGCAAGAAAAAGAACCCCTTGTTCATTTTCTTGCTGGGGGCAATTTTCTCATCCATCCTTGCTGAACCAGTTAAAGATAAACAAGCATTACTAGATTTCCTTGACCATATTCATCACTCACGATCTCTCAACTGGAGCAAGGAAACCTCTATATGCAACAGCTGGATAGGAGTGACATGCAACAGCGATCGTTCCAGAGTTATTGCCCTGCGATTGCCTGGTATGGCACTTCGTGGCCCTATTCCAGCTAACACTCTAAGTCGTTTATCTGCTGTTGAGATTTTAAGTCTTAGATCCAATGCTATTTCGGGTTCATTCCCTTCTGATTTTGCTGAACTCAAGAACCTGACCAACCTTTATCTTCAGTTCAACAAGTTTTCTGGCCCATTGCCTGATTTCTCTGTTTGGAACAATCTTACAATCGTTAGTCTTTCAAACAATGGCTTCAATGGAAGCATTCCTCCTTCAGTTTCAAAGTTGACACACCTCACAGCTTTGAATCTTTCTAATAACTCACTTTCAGGTGATATTCCTGATCTAAATATCCCTAGTTTGCAACAGCTTGATTTAGCCAACAACAATCTCACAGGAATTGTTCCTAAGTCCCTTGAAAGATTTCCAAGTTGGGCATTTTCTGGTAATAATCTTTCATCGGAAAATGCCCTTCCTCCTGCTCTTCCAGGCCAGCCACCTAATGCTCAACCTTCAAAGAAAGCCAAAAAGCTGGATGAACCTGCACTCTTGGGGATCGTAATTGGTGGCTGCGTGCTGCTATTTGTCCTAGTTGCCCTTTTGATGATCAGTTGTCACTCAAAGCGACAAAAGGAACAAGAATTCCGTGCAAAGTCCCCAAAAAAAGAAGTCTCTTCGAAGAAAACGGCTTCTGAGAATCATGATAAGGACAATAGGCTTGTCTTCTTTGAGGGTTTTAATCTTGCATTTGACTTGGAGGACTTGTTGAGAGCATCTGCAGAGGTGCTTGGGAAGGGTACATTTGGAGTAACATACAAAGCAGCCTTGGAGGATGGAACCACTCTGGCAGTGAAGAGGTTGAAGGAGGTAACCTCAGCAAAACGGGAGTTTGAGCAACAGATGGAGGTGGTTGGGCGTATCAGGCATGAGAATGTGTCTGCGCTTAGGGCATATTATTATTCAAAGGATGAGAAGCTTATGGTTCATGATTACTACGATCTGGGAAGCGTGTCTGCTCTGCTACATGGTGGGTTGATATGCTTAATTTCAATCTTTAGCTCAGCTCTTATTTGATTCTCTTTAAATATCTATTTTGCTTGGTGCTAATTTCTAAAATTAGTCAGTCCCTCAGCTTCTTCCTCTAAGATCTGCACTGCCTCAGTTTTTTCACCTCTATTTTATAAAATTTATGAACTCTAAGGATATTTCCTCTTACTTGTTGCTATTTCAAGTATAAGTTGGAGATATAAGCATTTTAGATGGAAAAGTTTGCTACTTTCTTCTATAATGCAAGACTGTGTTGTGGAGAAATGGTATTTTCTGATGGCGAACCATAAACAAAGCACATAGAACGATTCAGAATTTTCCTGGCCATGTAATGTATCTCTTATCTACATTTCAGCTGCAGAATGATGAGTCATGATTCAATTAGATAACACTTAAGCCTATATGTCATGATTCAATTAGATAACACATAAGCCTATACGTTAACTCAAGAGCTAGATCCATTTTGTTTAATATAATTGATTTCTTGATCCCCAATTTGTATCTCAGTTTGTGATTTCCTTAAAGAAGTCACTTCATTACAGTTTGCTAAGAAGTAAACATTGTATCTTGATGCATCTCTAATATTATAGGTAAAAGAGGTGAAGGCCGGACAACTCTGGACTGGGAAACTAGACTTAAAATTGCAATTGGTGCTGCAAGAGGCATTGCTCATATCCACTCACAAAACAGTGGAAAACTTGTTCATGGAAACGTCAAAGCTTCAAACATTTTCCTAAACTCTGAAGGATATGGTTGTGTCTCAGATATTGGTTTGGCAGCAGTGATGAGCCCAATGCCTCCACCTGTAATGCGGGCTGCAGGTTATCGTGCACCAGAAGTAACAGACACTAGGAAAGCAACTCAAGCATCTGATGTATACAGTTTTGGGGTCTTATTGCTTGAGCTCTTAACTGGAAAATCACCAACACATGCCAACGGTGGTGATGAGATTGTTCACTTGGTGAGGTGGGTGCATTCTGTAGTTAGAGAAGAGTGGACTGCAGAAGTGTTTGATGTAGAACTTTTACGGTATCCTAATATAGAGGAAGAAATGGTGGAGATGCTACAAATTGGGATGAGTTGTGTGGTGAGAATGCCAGAGCAGAGACCAAAAATGTCTGACCTAGTGAAAATGGTGGAGGAAATTCGGCGAGCAAACACAGGGAACCAACAATCCTCTGAAACTAAATCAGAAACTGCAGCTTCAACCCCAATCCCACATGCAGCCGAAATAGGTCCCTCTTCATCTGTTCCACAGTAAGATTCTTTTGTTTTATGAATTAGTAGTTTTATAAAATTTTAGAATTCATTATGGAACAGGCAAAAGGGTTTTTGATTACTTAAGTTGTTTATGTATCCTATACTTCTATGATAAAATATGGTTACAAGATTAGTTTAGCTACCCTGATGTAGCTATGATCAGAGTCAATCCTTGGTTATTGTGTCATTGAAACAGCCAGGAATTAATTGTTAAATCATGTGGACTTTAATGGTTTTGCTCGATGAAGTCTCTTTGATTTCTTTATCTATGGTTGGGTAAGGGTGCCCGGTGCATATGCATGCGCATCAAAATGGACAGTGAATAATCGTGGTATCTGGTTCCACTTTGTCCTCTTATAGTCCAAAACCTACCATCATCAATGGTTTCATTTCATTATCCCATTCGATTCAACTGAAAATGGTCATAAGCTGAGCAGGGAAATGAACAGGAACTTTTTCAACAATCTCATCAGTTAACAGGAAGCTCCAATTTAAAAGGGTGTTAGTGGTTTTGTACCTTTGATGAGCGCACTGCCAAGGTTTTTTATGCAGCATTTGATCCTGTGGGCAATCCTTAAGAAAAGTTAGGATTTCTTTTTCTTTTTCCTCATCTAATCATCAATAACTAGGCTTGAAACAAGGGCAATATTTTGTCTCTGGCTTCAAATATTTAATTGAGCCAATGCACGGGAGAAGATGATAAAAAAAGTAAAAAAAAAAAATGGATATTCCATTTTAGAATTTGACGTATGTCCAGCGCCGGCATCAACCAAACGAAGCCTTAGTCTATTAGGGGGAGAGTTTTGGAAATGGACTTTAGAGTCTCGGCGCCTTGTTTTGCCGACATTCAAAAACTTTGGATGCATTCGAGTTTGCCCAATACAATATTTATCTTACAGTTGGAACCAAATTACCTTCCTGTTTCTGAAAGCAGGCGAAAAAAAATTTAAATCTTGACCAATTCTTGTTGTCATTGATTATTTCTTATGTTACTGTATATATAGTTGCAAATTCCTATATATACATAAGTGAAAGGGAATATAATGATATAGATAAATAGATAGATAGATAGATAGAGGGATTGGGTGCACAGGGAGGCATGGCAAAGCAGAGTTATTTCTTCTTCTGCCTGGTAGCCCTGGCCGCTGGACTTTTGGGTGCTACCACCGATGGGGCAAAACCAAAACCAAGCCATTACTCCAAGCCCTTTAACAGAAGCCGTTTTCCAGCAGGTTTCATTTTCGGTGCTGGATCAGCTGCTTACCAGGTATTCCCTGCTCCTATATATATTAATATATATGCCATAAATATATATATATGCTAATCAGGTGTGTAACATATATATATATATATATATATATCCGTAAGTCAATCATATTCCTATAAAAGAGCAGAAAACTGAGAGAGGTAAGATACAATTAATATTTTTTATGTCTTTTCTAACTTAATTTCACTGCAGATTGAAGGAGCAGCTCTTGAAGATGGAAAAGGACCAAGTGTATGGGACACTTTCGTTAGAAAAAATCCAGGTCTCTGCTTTTCCTTACTATAATTATACATATGTATGCCTACTTAATTAATATGTTAATTATCCTTTGAAAAAAATATATATTTTAATTATTGTTTTTCTTTTAATTTTTTTAGTATATAGGTAACTTTTTCCTATTGAATTGTTAGATAATTCTCTCTTTCTTTTTTTATTATTTTTTTGAAAACATGCAAACCATTGATCTTCTCATTGAATTGTCAGCTATAAATAATAATTTTTTGTATTTAAAGTTGTTAAAATTGAAATTTAATCATTAAAACTAAAAATTCAATATTCTATCTACAAACCATATGATTAATAATCTCCATTCTAATGTGCTAAATATAATTCATTTAAAGCCGGCTAAAAACAAATGAAACTTGAAGTAAATATAATCATAAGGTCAGGTTAAATAAAATAAGCTTGATAGTAGATAACAAGTAGATAAGACATCGGTTCAATTTCAATATATAGTGAGATAATGATAACTTAAAAGAAAGAGAATTTAGGTGAGAATTTTTAGGTAAAGGTTCGAGATTTTTTTTTTTTATTAAAACTGATTAAACAGAAATTAAATTTGAAAATTTAAACCAATAAATTAATTAATAAAATTTAATAATATGTAAAAAAGTTGATTAAAAAATAGTATCTATACACAAAAGTTAATCAATGTTTAAACATTGGTCCATGAACATGTGCTCGTATATACTATACTGTACGCATCTTTATATAAACTCAAAAAATTTAATGATGGCATATGACAGAAAGAATCGTTGATGGAAGTACGGGAGATATAGCTGTTGATTTTTATCATCGTTACAAGGTTTGTCCTTCTTTCTTTTATATGTTTCATAAAATATTTTTGATCATTAAAAAAGATTGTCCAACAAATATTTAATGGTGCAGGAGGATATAAAGCTGATGAAAGAAGTTGGGTTGGATTCCTTCAGATTCTCCATTTCATGGTCTAGAATTTTACCCGGTAAGTTCGTTTCTACTTCACATTTTAATTAAAAAGTTTCAATTTGGATAACTTGACATGAAAATTTATGCTCTCTATTTTCAGAGGGGACACTTAGCGGAGGAGTAAATCCATCAGGTGTCCAATTTTACAACAACCTCATCGATGAGCTTCTTGCAAATGGTCCAATTCCAATCTTTAATCTCTGGCTTTCATGCTACTGGAAATCAACCAAAGGGTGCCTAACTGTCTTTACTCTAACTTTCTCAATTATGAGCAGGTTTAAAGCCCTTTGTGACATTACTCCATTTCGATCATCCACAAGCTCTTGAAGATGATTACGGTGGATTTTTAAGTCCCAAAATTGTGTAAGTTGTTTTTTCATTTTCCCAAATAAAATCTACTGCCATATTCAACATAAAAAGTGTGTTTTTTCCTTAACAGGGATGACTATGTTGATTATGCGGATTTTTGCTTTAAAATGTTTGGTGACCGAGTCAAGCACTGGGTGACCATGAATGAACCAAATGGGTGGAGCATTGGAGGTGCCGATGGCTCTGCTTCCACTTCTCCAACCGAGCCTTATATCTTGGCCCATCACTTGCTTCTTTCCCATGCAGCTGCTGTCAAACTCTACAGGGACAAGTACCAGGTTTGTATAGTTTTCAATGAATGAAGGAATATGTTAGACAAGATTAGCAGAATCCTAATGCTGATAGAATGTGCAGTCATCTCAAAAGGGAAAAATTGGAATTACCATAATAACTAATTGGTTCATACCAAAATTTGATACAACTGCCGACCACAAGGCAGCTTCCAGAGCTCTAGATTTCCTTTTTGGATGGTGAGTAGAGAACAGTTTTACCTGCATTACTAGATTTTCCCTGTATTGCATGCTTAGAACATTTCTTTTCTGGCAAAATTTGTGTAGGTTTGTGGATCCAGTAATATGTGGAGAGTATCCAAAGAGCATGCGGTCATTGGTAGGGAGTAGACTGCCCAAATTCACTGAAGCTGAGTCCAAGATGTTAAAAGGGTCGATCGATTTTCTTGGTGTAAATTACTATACTGCAAATTATGCAGAAGATGCACCTCCATCAAACAATGCCAACTATGGCACTGATAGCAGAGCAAATGTCACAAGTAGGACAAAAGACTTTCAAGTTTTAATCCATCGTATTATCTTTGATAAAAACTCGCATTACCATTGACATATATTTGGTTCTTGCAGCTGAAAAGAACGGAGTTCCAATTGGCACACCGGTAATTGGTTATCTTCTCTCTCATACCTCCTTCATTACTATATATATTTCTACTATTTTATCGGTCTTATCAAGCAACATTTATGAAAAGAAAAAGAAAAAGAAAAGAGACTTTTAGAAGAACTGATATGCTATTTTTTCATGAGCAAACTATTGGTGTCAATAATTTTGCAGACTGTTGTGAGCTGGCTTTTCATATATCCAAATGGCCTAAGAGAGCTGATGGTATATATAAAGGAGAAGTACAACAATCCACCCATTTACGTTACAGAGAACGGTGAGCCAGCCGGAGTCCTCAGTCTTAACTAATTAGTGTTGTTAATATTTCATGCAGTTGAAAGCAATAACCTGCTGTTTTCTACAGGGGTGGCTGAAGCAAATAATGCTTCATTGACAGTAAAAGAAGCGATCAAGGATGGTACCAGGATTAGATCCCTTGATGGCCACTTGAAATCGCTTTTAAAAGCAATCCAGTGAGCACTTAGAAAAAAATGTTGCTCAATTCATAAATCAAAAGTTTAGTTTTATTTATATAATTTGATGGTCTAAGAAGCAATAAAATATATACTTATCAGTTTTTCATGTAATTTTTTTTCTTTGGCAGGGAGGGAGTTAACATCAAGGGTTACTACATGTGGGCGTTTTTGGATGACTTCGAATGGACTTCTGGATATACCCTTAGGTTTGGGTTCACATACATTGATTACAAGAATAATTTGAGAAGATACCTTAAATATTCAGCTTATTGGTTCAAGATGTTCCTCCTTGCCTAACCTCTGCGACCTATGGGGATTTATCTCCTGAACTCTGTTGCTGTATGCAAAATTGTTTGGTTTGAGTACTACGAAGAAAAGTGCAATTTACGAGTTACTGTTTGAACATCCTTCTTCTCGTCTTCAGTTTGCCTCCCCTCTATGATTCTTAATTGCCATTATCCCCCTTTAAGGGAAAGTGTGAAATATCTGCAGCCCACTCAGACTTGGTTCAAATGGTAGCACTAAGAAAGAACGAAATTCTAGGTTCAAATTTTGGCGCTTTCCTATTGAGCAAAAACCAGTAAAAAGTATCAAATTTTTCATTATCCTACTCACGTTGGCAGCACATCATGCAACTTTCATCTGTCCCAAACAAAACCCAATGCATTAACAATGCCAAATGGATCAGAACACAAAAACTTGAATTACAGAAACATTATACTCACATAAAGTTACAGAAAGGAGGCATTTTCTATTGTGACAATTTCTACCAAGCGCGGGGATATCAAATCCCATAATCCAAGGGCAAGAAAAGCTAGAGAAAATTTATACAAAACCATTTTTTAGATAATAATCACAAATGATATACATTAACGTGTAAAAGAATAAGCCACCTGTTTCTGGGGGTGGCCTCCAAGTTGAGCAGAACCTCACAAAATACCAATGAATCATTCATTTTTACGTTTTAAAGAGTGCAATTCACCACAAAGTCTTACTCAAGGAAAATATATGTTGGCTACTTTCTCACAATTTTTGTTCTAACACCCCCTGAAATTTGCATAAATAATCTTGTTTCAGTAACACATAAAACCAGTATAACACAATTGTGAATTGCATAATATCACATACCCTCAACTTCCTCAATCTGAACTTCCTTAACAAGGTCCGCAGAAGCATTGTATTCAAACCTAACAAAAGAAAATGACAAATAAGATTAATAGATACAAAGGTTAAATAAAAAGAAACCAACAGCCACATAAATGTTTACTAAAGCCAGGGAAATGTTATAATCGAATGCAAGATAAGAGGATACAATTGCAAGAAACGAAACCTCCTTAGTAACTAAACCAACATTACGCTCGAAATTATCCTCCAATGAGAAACCTGATATTGCTAAGATTTAGGTCACACAATCCTAGAAATGAAATCTATAAGCAAAAATATAGCAGATGTCTAATGCTTTCGTAAAGGTTCTTTAAACTAATATCTTCTAGAGCCAAAGCCTCCCTCTCTTTGCTAGTAAAGCAGGCTTTCTCTGTGCCTCTCAGCTCCTAATGTGGATATGCTAATAACTTCTATATTTCCTCTTCAACAAAGAAAGCTGATTCTTGTTGGGGTATGATCCCCTCAGCAATCGGTATCAGGTATTTTCAACAGAATCCATTAACATGAAACCCTTGTAGGTGCAAATGCACATATTAAGAAAATAATGAAATTGCCAATAAAAGACCCCGAGTCACAAGCCCTAACCAACCACTTACACTAGAAAGTGAAGGTGTTTGCTTAATAACTTTAACCGCATTAGTTAAGACTGTCAGTAAAATCTAATTGAAAAAATGCCTAAATACCGGTTCAAAACAAAACAAATTAATCAAAGCAATGAAGCAGACCAAAACATACGATAAAACTAAGAAACATAAAAATGGCGTTTGAATAAATATCTGTTGTTTTACCTATTGGAAAAAACCACCTCAAGTTCATATTCAGAAGCACTTTTGGTAGCATCAACCAAGACAGTAACAATTTCAGTTTTGCGAGTACTAGCCATAAGTAAATCATACTCCGTTGGAATGATAATGGCGAAGAAATTATCGCTTAATTCACTCAAACACATCTTGTCTACAGCTGCTAAAGCTATCCGGCGTTTAAGTGCGTCGGTGTCAGGGTCAACAATGTAAATTGCAAAATCAGTCATCATAAGAATCCGCCGTTTCATCTTCCCTGATGAAGTGAACTTCAAAACTTTATCAGCAAACAAAACTTGCTTGTCACCTGCAGGTTTCATTAGCACAATATTCCCTCTTAAGAAAATCTCAATTGTCATTACCAAAAATTACAAAAAAAAAAAAAAAGAACAATAGTGTCTACCGCAATTTCCATTTCATATAAACTATAGACAATACCACAAAGAAAGGACTTTTTTTATATTTAATTGTTGCAGTAAATTTTATTTAAAAATATAATTTAAAGAAAGAAGGGAGGGAAAGGGAACCTTGTTTTTGCAAGATCTTCATTAAGAAGGGGCGGGAGGGGACACCCAAGTAATCTCCTTTGTATTCCCGACGGAGGGAGGCATTTCGTCTGACTTTGACTCCCATGAACGGCTGATCTTCCGTCAAATTGCTATCCAACGGTCTCAACTGCATCCCGTTTTCTTCTTGTTGTTCTTTGTCTTGTACATCGTCGTCGTACTTGGGGGTCTCCGATTCGTCGATTTGGACTCGCCGTTGTACCTTGTATCGGTTCATTGTCGACCGGGCCGAATTGGAATCGTCGGCCGCTGTTTGGCTCTTGGAAATTGGAAGAGAGAGAGGAGACAAATGAAAGAGGTGGTGGCGGAGAATGTACTTGTTCAAGTGTGCTTGTCAGGGAATCCGCATCATGCGCTAATGGGGTCCGCCCGTGATCTGGTGTCTCTCTAAAAGTTTCTCGCAAACTGTATTGAATCTGAGCCGTCGGAAATGTAGGTTCTTAATTATATTATTTGTCATATACTATCACTAAGTTTGAAATTACTTTATTTCAAGCTTTACAATCCCCATGGTCCAACATCTCCTTTATCTAAAAGAAAATGGTCCAAATATTCTTTTCTTTTTTTTTTTAATTCGATGTCTGATATTCTTGGAACTTTAGTTTGAGGTCTTTTTTTAATAAAAATGCTTTTGGTAACTTTTGTATGAAATTTTTACTATTGGATGGTATGCTTTTATGCAATCTCATCATCATTTTTCTTGAAACAATGATATAACTTAATTATTATATTTTTAAAATTAGAATTGTATTGTTTTTGGCCAATAGTTAGAATTTTATTTAAAATTTGCAATTAATTTTCGAAGTAAAAATTTTCTTTTAAATACAAAAAAAAATTTTCACATATAAAGAAGTCTAGAAGAAATAAAATATTAAAGCCTTAGATTTAAATTAAAAAAAAAAAAACAAATTTTGGACCAATTTTTCATTTGGATAGCTTTGTTTTGAAGCTACTTTTTTATTTGAATAAAAATAATCAACAATTATTAGGTTAAGAAAAGAAAAAAAAAAGTTAATTGAAAAAAAAAGAGAAAAGAACAAAGTTACTATTTAGTGTATAAATTAATGATTTTCAACTGTTGACTTGGGAGTTGGGCCAGGGTCTTAGTATTTCCTACACATAATACACGGGTACGACACCCAAACCCGACCGCCAGACCAGACCAAGCCAACTCAATTGACAAACGCGTTCCGGACTGGGGACTTTGGGACCGGACCCCGACCCCTTCTTTCAAAGGCCCCAATCACAATCAAGAACTCTATGCCCCCCCAGGACAGCCACTTATGCATAATACGACGTCGGTTGCCATTTAGATTTTCCTCAAACGACTATGGACTACGCGTTTTGCCTAGATTCGCGTCGACTTAATAAAATTAAGAAAAAAAACCCAGGCAGGACACCAGAAAAATAAACAGGCTAATAACAAGAGTTGCCACTTTAGGCATTTTCGTAAATAGAACGCCAAAGCACGGGACCCACAACAGACTAAATATTAACCCAATCAGAGACTCTTTAAAGGGACCGTTCCAGCCGTTTTTAAATACCGCCACCACACTCAATCATAAATTCTCTTCTCATTTTTTCTCCTATCTTTCTTCTTCCTTTCTTCCATCTAATCTTTCCTCTCCTACCCACCCAAAGTTCCTTCAGCCATTCAATCCCCCCTCCCCCAAAAAAATAAAAAAAGAAAAGGAGGATCAGAAAACATCTTTTCGGGTTCGATCTCTCGGTTTTAATTGTTCTTTTTTTGTATTTTTTTGTATTTTTTCTTATCTACGGTGGATGGATCGTAGGTTTCGCGATGGCATCCAAGCGGATCTTGAAGGAATTGAAGGATTTACAAAGGGATCCTCCTACATCTTGCAGCGCTGGTATTACAATCAATATATATAAAATCTTCCTTTTCGCTGTTTTTTATAATTTTTTTTTCAAATATTGATGTGTTTTTGCTATAATCATCCTGTAAGACGATAGATTTCTAGGTGTATATGTTTTCGGATTTAAATGGAGGATTAAAAAAGGATCTGCTTGATATAATTATCAGTGTTTTTTTTAAAATGTTAAAAAAATTAATATTTGTGCGATTATTTATAAATAATTGTAAATTTCGTGTTTGTTGATGACATATAGAAAAGGACAGCTGAGCTGAGATTGTGTTTTTGCCTCAAATAAGCTTGTTGGTTTGGCCAATTGTTTTCTTTTAAAGACCAATACAATTGTAGTCGAAAAAAAAGACCAATATAATTGTAAAATGTTAAAAGCATATGTAAAAGCGTTCTAGCATTTCATGAAACTTTTATGAATTAAATGTATGTTGAACTGGTAGTGGTCCTCATTTTTCATATTTGGTCATAGATTATGACATGTCTAAACTATAGGTTAACTATAGGTTATGTTTGACAATTGTACAGTATATATTGTCCTAATATGTTTTTGGTTGATGTTGACAAAGATCTTTGACTTAACGCCCTAGATATTAATGATAATGATAGCAATTCATCATGTGATGGCCTTACTGATTGAAGTCTTTTACTTTGGAATTTAACATTGGAAAGTTTTCCGCTTCAAAGACAGAATAGTAGAATGAAAGGGAAAGATTCATTTTCCCATGGTGGATGTTTTCTATCCCCTTTTGGGATAATAATAAGATGAAATATATTGACAAAGTTTGATATTTATTATTATGTCAGCTGATCCTCAGACCCTTTTTGTATATGATATGTCCAAGTTAGGTAGGTATGATAAGGTAAAGTAGGAAGGAAACTCTTAAAAGTGCTGCAACCTCTTTTTGCTATGTTGTTTATGACCATAGTCAATTGCAATTGTCTTAATTTCTGGATTGCACAATCAAGTTGACGATCTCTAGTGCTAAACAGGGTCTGTTGTCTAGTTGATTGGGTATACCTTTCCTAGGGATTCCAACGCTTTTTGTTAACTGTTTTGTTATATTTGCTCTTCAGAGTAGCTAAGAATTGTGACTGAATGGTAGAAAAGTAGTTTCTCATTGTATGAAAATTTGGGACTGTTTGGTTCGGCTGGAGCTTCCATAAAAATGTATAGTTGTTTTAAAAGTGCTATAAAGAGAAGCTAAAATAGCATTTGATATACTGAATACAGAAGTGTGGTAACTTGTTGAAAACTGTTTTATATTATTTTTATATTTTTTTAATAAATGAAAAACAAAATATTTTATTAAATAATTTTGAATAGTCTCAAAATTATAATTTTTTTTGCATATATTTTTTACATTCTCCTTATAATTTTGTGAATTATTGAAGAGTAACATGAGAATGTAAAAAAATTCATTAAATACTTGTTATTAAAATTAGCACTTCTTGAAGAAGTGTTGATTTATAACTTAAGTCTAAAAACTCAAATCTACATCCCACATAAGCTAAAAATTTGAAAATTTTGAAAGCCAAACATTTGACTTCTGCTTTTGTAGTAAAAAAGCTCTTTCATAAGCTGGGCAAAATACTCACTTTATATAGTTTCTAGGTGAGCAAAGTGATTAGATTACCAATTTGCATATTGTTAGATATTGCATACTGAATTTTTTATCTCCATGATGATATTGATAGTTAACAAGATAAAATCTTACATGTTTTCTTATGATTTTTGTGCTTATGTTTTTTGGCATTTTCTTCTATGTACAAGTTCTTAAGGAGTGTCATTGAACTTTTTACTTATATGTTACCTATTGTTTATCTGACAATGTTGCAGGTCCTGTTGCCGAAGACATGTTTCATTGGCAGGCAACAATCATGGGTCCTCCAGACAGTCCTTATGCTGGGGGTGTTTTCCTAGTGACCATTCATTTTCCTCCAGATTATCCCTTTAAGCCTCCCAAGGTGCTTTTTATATGTAATTTTTGTTTACCTTAGAGGCTGGTTTTTTACTCTGATATTTGCAAGTGCATACAAAATTTCTCTGTTGTTTCAATGCTTTAAGACTTTGATCATTCACTTTTATTCTTTGTTGGACAGCTACCTCCATAATCCAGTTGCATAGTTGCACTATTTAAAATGTCCTTCCCCACTCTCTTCTGTCTCTCATCTCCTTTCTTTTATCAAATTTTTGAAGAAATTAAGGATTGCGCTTTTATTAGATATTCCTTTTAGGATTACATGTTTCATACTTTGTTGGATATAGGGGTAGTTGATAATATATGCCCTATCGAAGAGTGAGAGACGCTTTAATGGGCATAATTGAAGCCTTCATTGTCATGTTACTTGAAATGCTTCTTGCTTTCCAAATGCTGGTCTAAAAGATTAAAATGAAAATTAAATTACATGAAAACTCAGAGTGCTATTAATAGGCCACAAATATTCTCAAAAGCTTGAAGTGGTAGAAATATACGTAAAAATGAAAACTGGCGTTGCACTGGATTGGTAGATTTTTTTTTTTTTTAATATTTGGCTGCCCAATTGTATTGTAAGAATTTAAGTTGCTTAAGACAAAATTATTAAAGCTAGGAGTTACATAGAGTGTGTATTACTTCCTTCTCTCTCTAATGTTTTCCATATGATAAATGGATTTTGCAGGTGGCATTTAGAACAAAAGTATTCCACCCCAATATTAACAGCAATGGAAGCATTTGCCTAGACATCTTGAAGGAGCAGTGGAGTCCTGCACTAACAATTTCCAAGGTGATTGTCCTCTAAATATCTGATATTCCTGTTTGAATCTCCTCTCATATATTTGGATCATCAAGGGTTGGCAAAAATGGATCCAACCTGAATGAGCACCCCCATCGAGGCCAAAGCCTAATATTGAAAAGTTAACAACCTGAACACAAACCTGATCAACTTGAAAAATGAATCCCCGAATCCAAACCTCTGATGAGTGATTACCATCTCTAGTAAAGCAGAAGTGGTAGAATCCAACTCAATACGTAAAATGAAAACTCACTTTGTAGTCATTTCTTTTGGGATACAAATTTTTGTTTGGAGTATCAACCTTTTCGATTGCAACCTGTCTGCTTCATCTTTATAATTGGTTAAAATTTTTATAAATGATTTTGTTCTTTTAGGTATTGCTATCAATCTGTTCTTTGCTGACGGACCCAAATCCAGATGATCCATTGGTGCCAGAGATTGCTCACATGTATAAGACGGACAGGAACAAATATGAGACAACTGCAAGGAGCTGGACCCAGAAGTATGCCATGGGCTAAACGAAGCTTAGGTGTGCGAGTGTGTGTGTGTGAGGGGAGGCCCTATGCTTTTTTATATTTTGGTTTGTTCAGTTCCATGTATGTATGTTTGTTCTGTTCTGTTACTTGAATGCCTAAAACGGACTAAGGAGGTGCGCAACATGCCCTCGGTCAAAGAAAAAACTCAAATGTTGTTTTCTGTAGTTGTAATGTATGGATAATGTAACTTTTGGAACAGAGACTTGTGTCTTGAATCATCCCTCAAAAGCCAGCCTCCCTCCGCCCCCACCGTCTATGTATTTATTTGTTGGTTTTGGCAGAATGGTAAATGGAAATTACATAGTAATGGGCCGTTGGAGCAGTCGGCGGCTTTAAGATGAAGCCTTTTTCACTTATACGTAATCATCAGAAGCCGTCTGCAAATTTATGGATTTGAGGGTCGAAGAGTGTTTAAAGGGAAAGGTTCATGCATTGAATCATTTTGTATATGACATGCGTAAAACAACATGCAAGTATTTTACAGGGAAGGGACGATACCGATCTTTTCAAACTCTTTTTCTTTTTGAATTTTAGTGGTGTAAATGTAATTAGAACGATTTGTTAATCGACCAAACAAGCTGTTTAATATTCATTCAACAAGTACATAGACCAGAAGTAGGATATCATAAAATAAATCGAAATAGAAATAGAAACCGTTGCAATTTTATTTTTATATCAGACTTCACAAATGCCAACATACTCACAAATTAACGTGGATCCTTCGTCCTTCCAGCTTTCACCAAGAAGCTAAAAATATGTTAATCAAGTAATCCTGTACTTTTGAACCCCGAAAGAGTCGCTTTTCTCAACAGGGCATGATCCAACCCACACCATGCATCTTTTTCGGCCAACTTAATTTGGGGTCTGCTTTTGCATTGAGGAAAAAAAAAAACTATTTCTATAATTCTGCTCATCATCATATCCAGAAAACCAGGCCTTAATTAACCATCTCATCTCAGTGATCAGTATTGATTGCAGAGACAATTGTTAAATTAATGTCCACTCCTTCTGGAGCATTTCTCATTACTGAAAGTTCATCTCGTATCTCAGTGAAACAAATTGAGGAAAGCTGCTGCAACTAATTAATTTAAATATATATGAGAAAAAAAAATTCATATGGCTGTTCTTTTTTCTTTATATCTTCTCTTCTGATATATTGATCAGTACATTTACCAGAGCATCTTTTTAAATTCATCAAATGAATATTGAAACTGTTTTAACCATACCTATTTGCTACTTAAATGGTTTCAGATGTACTTCAAGCTTTTAATCATGGTTTAAACTATTAGAAAATACAGACCCATGTCGGTTTTTGTCTAATAATTATTTAACCATGTAAATCACACGAGTCAAATCATCAACTTAGCAGAGTCCAAAGTCCCTCTCTCTCTCTCTCTCTCTCTCTCTCTCTCTCTCTCTCTCTCTCTCTCTAGCTCAAGATTAATAATAAAGTGTGTGTACATATATATATATATATATATATATAATAGTACTAGTTCCGGTAAATGGGTCGTGGCCACGAGTGGAAGAGAGCATACATGGTCTCTGAAAATCAGGCTCAATTAATTTTAAAAACCAAACCTAATCTCAGTTGAATGAACTCAAGGTTGTCGTCACTGAAGACAAGGCACAAGATTGAGAATTCCTGTGTAAAGTGTTTAGGTACATTGTTATATATAAAATATTAACTTTACGAAAGGGTCTCATCTCATGGAAGCCATTACATTTCTGATTTCCCCCACTACATTTCTGCCACATTCTAACTATAAGCTATTTGCATCTTATTGTTAAGAACTTACTGTCGAGAAAATAGCATTTCAAATTCGACTTATTGAACTTGATTTGGGGTATCAAAATTTTGTTGAACAGACCTTTGGGATCAGGATTTTGGGTTGATAAAAATTACTTAGAGTACGTTTGCTTCGAAAAAATACATAATTTTTTTTTATTAAATTTTGATGGTGGATACTAGATTCTTACGTTTGGTTTAAGATAATCCAATTATGAAAAAAAATATTAAATTTCAATAATACCTAAAGTTTTAGAATCAAAAACCCACATCTCTCTATAATATTTTAGAATTTCAAAAAAAAAAACATTATTTTTAAATTTGATCTGAATAAAAAACTTATTATATAATCGTTACTCTTTTAAAAAGCAAGTCTTAAATTAACTGAAACTTAATTATAAATTTTTTTATAAACAATATATATATTTTATTTTATGTTGCAATTAAAGCGTTTTAAGGAAGAAATGCTTTAATCGATCATCAATTGAAGTGTTTCAAATAAGAAACACCTTAATTGATAATTTATTAAAAAAAATTTTTGTCTCGAATACTGTATTATGACATGAATGATTTTCACTCACATTCTGATAAAGATTTAAGTGTCGATTAATAAATGTATTTTAATGAAAAAAAAAACACCTTAATTAGTTATCAATTAAGATATTTCTTCTTATAAATATCTTAATTGTTGTTTATTAAAATTTTATTTTTTTTCTAGAAAATCATGTTTCAACATTATAAACTTTGTAATGTGTAATCGTGAAACAGAAAAAATCTATATTTTATAATTAAATAAAGTTTTTCTATATATGAAACATTTTATTTGATAGCTTCATCATGTTTCAATAACCAATACATTTTTTATTTTTGTTTCAACATATGTCAGCTCAAAAAAAATACTTTTCTTTTTTAACCAACTTCAATTTTAACATCTGTTATTTAATCTTTGCCCTTTTCAGTTTATTTTTATTTTTTTATAAAAAATAGTATGTATACTTTCGGATACTTATTTATCTTATCTGCATTATTTATTGCATTCCAATATTTTCTTTTTTTTTTTCATATTTTTAGATGTCGTTTAGTTTTGGATTTCTGTTTCTTATATATCAAACTTGTTTTGTGGTTTATTTGTTTTAACTCATTCATCCAAAAATATTTTGTTAATAATTTATATTTTCTCTGATGATGTTTGATAAATTCTATGTACCATATGTCAAGATTTGCTTTCCATTTATGTTTTCAACTTTAACAAGTTTTGAATTCTAAATAGTTATGGCTAGTTTATCACTAAGAACGAATGTGCAATTAGTTACAATGCTTACGATGCATTTGAACCAGGATGGAGACTTTGTTCCATGTGTTATGTTTTGTTACTATAACTTTATTATATATGAACGTTAGAAAACGATGTTAACTATTTATGATGAAATATCTTATGATAAGCTACATATTAGAGAGTTACATTTAAATGCAATAGTTTTTTAGAGCAATAGATAATGTGTAAATAATACTAAAATGAATAAGAAAATTTTTGCAAAATTATGTTATTTGCTTAAAATAGAAAGGGGATTGTAGTCATATAAACATATGTCAATAGAAGAACTAGTTATTAGCCTCATCCACATCATAGCCTATCATACAAAAATAAGATTATAAAGCATCAAGTGACCTAATTTGGATAGACAATTAGTAGATAATTTCATTCTGTATTCAATTTTGTTTTAAGACTGCATACGTTATTGTTTAAAAAACTCAAATTGAAATTGAAAAATTCAACAAATAATAGATAGAAATAGTTCAAGGGTTATTTAAATGCCTTAGATAGGATAGACATCACAGTTAATATAGACGCAATTGACAAGCCTAGATACATGACTAAGAAAAATGAAATTGCTACCAATATCTTTTGTGTTTGCACCCCAAATATGTAATTTATATATGTTTTATTGGGATAAAAAAGTTCATCATTTATGAATGATCCATCTTTTCGCATATGTTCTTTTTTTCACATATCCCATTTAGAAACTTCAATTCCAGAGTTAGATGATTCTTGAAAAAGAATCATTATAAGTTTCTTAATTTATGTTTACATGTTCATAAATATTCATATACAAGTATAAAACAAGCGTTTCAATACTTACAAGATCATGCTTGACATTTGCATAACCATTTCTTAATGTCCAATGGTGATATAATTGTTAGGCCCGATTGTTCTTTTGTTGTTCATTGATTTTTTTTTAAAAAAAAAGATAAATCACATATTAAGATATTGAATATATTAAACAAAATATTATAAACAATTAACAAACTAGGTATACATATTGAGAATTCATTTGATAGGCAATTTCAAACAAATTACGATCACTCTTTATAACTAATAATATCTACATATGTCGTTGGAGGATTAGCCAATAATTCAGAATTATCATCGAACAGTAAAATATATTGAGTTGTTAATTTACTCTTAAAGTTTTTGAATATTTTTTTATCTGATTGTAACATAAGCTTTTTATACTCAATTAGAACATCAAATAATTCTAAAAAATTGAATACATTAAATTCAACACATTAATTCAATTCAATTAACAAAAATTTGGATATTGTTGAATAAACATATCACAACCGAATCTCATATACTATCATTCTTATCATTAGGAACCATCTGACAATTAGGGTAGGTAATAAATATATTATGCTGGATGACCACTCCAATGTGGCTAGCCAACTTTGCATTTTTAATTAACATAAACTGCCTATTTTGATTGAGTTCATATGAATTTTTGTCCTAATCACTTTAATTTGTTTACCACGTCCACTGGATTTTTTTTTCATGACGGGTTTGTATTCTTCATGTTCAGTAAAAAGATATATATATTTTTCAAATCTCATAATATTTGTAATTTTGATCAAAATTATATAAAATACACCAAACTATCTCTCTATATATCCCATACAGTAAAGACAACCAATATCCATTACAGTAAATAAATCAATATAATAAAACATACCAAAACCAATAATGTTATACATGGTACAAGTCATACTGTATTTCATCACATCATAAGAGTTTTATGTAAAACAAATTAGGAAAATATAACAAATATTTTTATAAAATCATTCGGCAAACTACAATACTCCAACCAAACAACAAAGAAAATACCATGTATGCTATGTAAGAAGGATGTGTAACATTAGTGATAGTAGTAAATGATTATAAAAATAAAATATATGTATATATATAGTAAGAAAGGAAAAAAATGACATAGATAAACGAATAAACATTGTACAAAAAGGATAAAATTTGCACATAACTGGTAAAAACTATATGCAACAGTATTGAGTGATTAATAGTCAGCAGTGACGGGGAGATGAAGAAACAAAATGCCAAGTGAATGGGTTGATGGGGATTTAGGGAAATATATGCATTGCAACTTTTATTGTTCAACTGTATTAGCTGTTT